TTTGCAGGCATAATTTCTTCCGCATTTTCGACAGAGTTACCTAAAACAAATGGCTACATACTTTTATGCAATTTAGAATTCATAAAAGGTAAATAATGGGTGAATTTGTCAAAAATACACTTTTGTGCCCGTCAACCCTCTACTAAGAAATACCAATCTACCAACACATAAAGCATTTAATAAAGGTAATGAATAAGTAAATTCATGATTTTCATTTCTATTCCCATTGCCAACAAGATTGCTGTCAAAATCTCGTTGGAAAAAAACGTAAATATTTAGGATCTTTTAGATTTTTTGCCTATAAACGATACACCCTGTATATAATTCAAAGAATGTTCAAAATGGGGGTTATAGCCTTAGATCTTTCACGTTTCCTGGTGATGAATTTTTCCAATAGAGTAAATGGTTTTCGAGAAAAAAATTATTTTGTCAAACTATGTAGTACGTCGTAATAAGTAAATGACATCATCGTGTCTAGATTGAAGGCGAGAAATAGTGACTTTCATTTGGATTTTTTCAAATATCTCCGAACAAAGAACAAAAATTGTAGCTCTTGGTGCAGTGTAACCAGTTAGCCATATTTTTTAGGAATTTTGATTTACTGCTAATAATTTACTCCGAAAAAAAAAACAATTTTCAGGGTTTTTTAGATTTTTGTCTATAAATTTTAAAAAAATACTTGGCAAGTCTTGATTGCTCCCACGGTTTAGATGGGGGTGTGGAATTTCACTTTTCTGCTAAATTTGAAGTCCATAGCTACAGATTTGAGACACATATTATTGTACTGAATATACCACAGAGTATCCCGAACATCCTGTACAATGCCGTTTATGAGAAATGATTTTCTTTCTTGAAACCCTGCAAATGCAGTTTCTATATTTTTAAAAATATTTTGAACTCGATAGCTGCAAATTTCGGACACTTATCGGGTTTCCTAGCGATGTACGAAAAACAGACAAAAATCGATTTCATCGATTTCTCGATAGTAAGTTCCTGTCTCTCTCTACCTGCAATGGCTGCAATGCTGTTTTTATGAAAATTTTGGATTACAAAAAATACTTTTATTAATTATTATTTATTATATTTATTTGTCTAAAATTCATAAAATATATTAAATGACTTTTTTTTTTAATAGGAAAATATAAATATAGAGTATTACTGTGCTGTGTAATTGTAGGAAAATCATTTTGTCAGTGACGCACATCGCTGGGATTTTTTACCGATACACTATACACAGAATAATATTTTTGTGTATTCAAAAGCATAGGTAAATTAGAAATTTCACTCAATATATGTTATCAAAATGTGTTGCTAATATTTCGTTAAACATTATCAATAAAATCATAGTTATTTTTTAAACAATAACGATATGGTTTGTATGAAATGCCTTCTTGTAATGTGACAGCGTAACAGTTTAAGAGAGTTTTAATCTTGATTTTACGTGCCTCTTGGACTTTCGTCTTAGTTAGTATTTTGTGAGAAAAGTAACTTTTTGAAAGTGAAATGATGTTTTTAGATATTGCTATTACAAAAACTGATAGCAATAGCGAAGTTTGCCATGTACTTGGCGGTTTGAATTCCGAAGTGTCATTTGTTGTTTATATAAACAATCGAAATAGTATATTATGCAACAAGTTAAAAAGTTTACCGAATGTGTTGCATACTATGCTTCTTCTACAACCGTTAGTTTTTGGGTACAAAACAACACGAATACATTCACTGACATAACTGTCAGAATTGACAAATGTCCAAAGTTAAAGCGTGGGAAATATCTCCGAAAACATCCGATTGGAAACAAAACTGACGTGGTAAAGTAAGGCTCCCGCACGCTAGATCGGTGGGTAATTAGGTATTCGACAGGCGGGAGTAGAAAAACGCGTTTATTAGTCAGGTGTACTTATTTTCTTGTTCTCTGTATTTATGCTTCATTTTATCTGTTGTAGGTCCCTCAAGAACGCTCAAAGATCTCGAATCTGGATTGGCATTATCATTAATAATTGGTACAATTTGTTTAATTTTATTATTTGTAATATAATTTAATAATAAATTAATAAATTTTAATATTGATTGGTTAAGCAACTACGAAAAAATGTTGAGAAGGTCCATTCGAAATGGGCATGAGCTGGGTTTGAAATCTCGTTATTTAACCAATGATCTTGGGGCACTCAACAACCAACATGGCCGCTGACAGATCGTCAATATGTGTGTATGTATTTTATCAAAATATGCCGAGATCTCGTTAAATTTTCTAGAAAAACGAGTTAAGTGTGTGGAATTCGCTGTTTAGTGAGTAAAAAGTAGAGGCGTGCGCAGAAAATAATTACCTTCTTTTCGAAAATATCAATGCTTCTTGAGGCGCAACAATTTTTTCAGTAGTAGAGCCACTCCATTATCTAAAAGCTAATTGATATTAAGGCAACACTCCTCACCCCACTCGTCCGTTGTCTAAATGCCTATATTTGCATCATAATAACAGCAATTTTGGGAATGGCATGCTGTTTTTTTTAGACCTCCATGATCCAGACTCTTTCTTGATGAAACCTTCCTTTAGGAGTTTTGGATCATCAAAAGAAGCTAAATTAGACAATGCAATTACTTTTTCCATCCGTTCATTTGGGCTGTCACCCTGTTAAATTACCCTGTTATCGCTCTCTGGAACGTTAGCCAAAACACAGCTCCAGTAATATGATGTAAACAAAGTTCGCGTCAGCAGTTGGTAATTAATTGTAATTTTTGCTTGTCTCCTCGATACTACCATAAAATAATACACTAATAGTGAGCCATTTTATTATTGGGAGGCGGGAAAGGCTTCTTTTGGCACGCTTAGCGATTTTTCTTTCGCGTTTCGAAAACTTTCCTCTCAAACGCTGAGAAAGTTTTCTCCTGCTCGTTCGACGACGACGTCCGGCAGCTGCCAAACTAAATGATCGTCGGCTAATTTCCCCCCATCCCCCGTGCGCGCCCCTGGCGGACTATGTCTTTTATTTCATTATGCCGTTATTGATTGTCGACTGCCGCGGGCGCGCTTTCAAACAATTAAACCCCGCCAATAATGGACGGGATCATATTTTCTTACGCCCTCGTCCCCTTGCCCCTGGTTCGGCTGGCCGTATGAAATATTAGACACCGAGAGCGGCGTCTTATGCGCGTGGTGTCGGTTTTCGCCTCGCCGGAGTCGTCTGGGGGATTTATTTTTCGTCCCCGCGTCAATACCAATTAATTGCTAGAATCGACGTAGGGAAGCATGGAATATGGAAAATTGGTAAAGCAACGTGTGTTCTGTGACAAGATTCTACGGGTGTCACGCGAGGAGTACATCCGTATGCATTTCATTGAGTTGAGGAAAAAAAAACAAAAAAAAGACTGATTCGCCTTTGTCGGTCAATCCCAAGAGCAGTAATTATGGTAATTAATGGGCGCGACAAGAGTTGCATCACAAACTCGCAAATTTGTAGGTTCATAGATTATGTTGTGTACTCCATTGTTTTTATTTGATCGATATATTTAATCCGTAGGGGAGTGACCACGGCACGGCAGGGCAGTTACTTTTTCAGAAAAAATATGTAGGATACGCTAGCACGCTCGTCGCTTTTTCTGGATTTATCGCCCGGAAGGCCGCAGCCCGCCCCCGCGGGCGAAAACAATGACCATTAAAAATTGTAACGACGACCGTCCCCCGCCGCGCGCTTTATGCTACATTACACCGTCTGATGGCGCCGCGTTCGCGCTCAACTGCCTCCCTCTCTAAAATTCGCAGATTTGGCCAATTTATTTGTGAACCACTCGACCGGACCTTTCGTGATAAAGGACTGCGGGAATCGGCCCCCTAACGCCCCCTTACTGTTATTATCTAGGACCGCTCTGTCGAGCTTCGGGAGTATTTTTCATTCGTTGGAACCGGAATATCTATTTTTGCTTTTCTTCCGTGCCATGACAATTATGTCCAAAATTATCGCCATTCAGGACAATATTTGATCCCGAGCACGATTTCGTTATCTAATTGTATTTGGTGTTTACGTCGAGAAATGCCCCCTGAACAACTTTAACCGTTCTATTAAATAAATAATAAATAAAAACCCGCGGCATCAGGTGGAACGACTCCTCCGCCTCTGACGCAAACAGAAACGATTTAATGTAACCCAATTAGGATATGAGTTGCACGATAATAAGCAAACGATGTCCGAACCTTTTCCGGTTGCCATGGCAACCCCGGAACAGTAGACAAAGGCGAAGCTAACTCATCTTTAATAAGGCGATCAATTATGAGAGGAAGAAAGAGCGGAGTGGCGCGTTAGAAAACTCCCGTGCAACTTTCGTCCGTAATTATATATCTTTCTGTAATTACGTTCGCCCGCGATCCCTTTTATCCTTCGAAGCGTCCGGAATTATTACGGATACATGAAAAAAGTTGTGCGCTTACGTACGAAATTATTTAACTCGAACGGAATACGGACGTTTTTTAAAGAAGGGCGATTCCGATTAAAACCCAGAAAGATCATAAACGATTCAAGATTAACCATTGTTGTGAAATATACAAATTGCAAATCGCAAATTGCCATCGACTTACATCATTGTGGTATACGCGCGCCATCTATCGCAAGATTGTTAAATCAGATCGAGAAGTGTGTGCTCCGTGTCAATTTCGTTGGAAACACCAACTTTTTCCATTGAAAAGGCTCGGTTGCCCCCGATGAATATTCTCTATTTTGTTCTGCCGCGTTTCAATAGTGTAGTTTTTGTTCCCTAAATGTTTTGTGAAGGTTTTAAAGTGTTTAATCGTTGTCGGTCCCCCTGTGGTTGGTTTTTTGTTATCGGTCAAATTCATTTTTGCAAGCTGAGAATAAATGTTGGTAATGGTTTTTTTACGTCTATCGCCAAAGGAAAAAATTCCTCGACGGACGTCGGTAATGAGCGAATAGCCATAGTAAACTTGCTCTAGTGATTGTGAAAAGCAAAGAAGATAAAAAAAGAAGATTGTTCTGCTGTCGTTCAGCGGTATTGTCAATGTTATTTGGCGGGAGTTTGTCGGAATTCTTCATTTCCATCCGACTTTTTTATTTACTTTTTCTTTAAATCGGAATCTCGTAAGTTTTCGCGATGGTGAAGAAACCGATCAGCAAGATGTACGTGATTAAACGAGGTAAGAGTTAGAGGCAGTTTACGTTGTCATGAAATTTGTACTTAATTTTTTGTAGATGGGAGACAGGAGGCCGTTCACCTGGATAAGATTACTTCGAGAATCCAGAAGCTGTGTTACGGTCTGAATATGGACTTTGTTGACCCGGTGAATTTTTGAGTTTTGGTTACCGAACTTTGTTTAACTCGGTTTTCTCCGTGTAGCTCTCGATCACGCTGAAGGTTATCAATGGGCTGTATCCCGGTGTAACGACGGTAGAATTAGACACATTAGCGGCCGAAACCGCAGCCTCTATGACTATAGATCATCCCGATTACGCAGTACTGGCTGCTAGAATTGCCGTGTCAAATCTGCACAAAGAAACGAAAAAGCAGTTTAGCGGTAACCTCACAATACACAATACCTCATCGCCATTACAATCTATCGTGTTTTAGATGTTATTAACGATTTGTATAACATAGTGAATAAGCAGACAATGAAACGTACAACGATAATATCGGATACACACTACGAGATAATAATGAAGAATGCAGATCGGTTAAATTCCGTTATTATTTACGACAGGGATTTTTCTTACAACTACTTTGGATTTAAGACCCTTGAGCGATCATACTTGCTCAAAATTAACGGTAAGATCTCCGAGAGGCCGCAACACATGCTCATGAGAGTTGCAGTTGGTATCCACGGAGAGGATATTGAAAGCGCAATTGCAACTTACAATCTTCTTTCTGAAAGGTAGGATGGTTTTGGATCCTTGAATCTACTTGAGTTTAATTTCTTTTTGCAATTTTATTTTACTTTGTTTCAACTGCCAGTGTTTACTGAATTGCTGGTTTGGCTTTTTCTTTAGATACTTTAGTCACGCGAGCCCCACTCTATTCAACGCGGCCACCATAAGGCCGCAACTTTCATCGTGTTTCCTCTTGATGATGCCCGACGACAGTATCGAGGGCATCTGCAAGTGTTTGACACAGTGCGCGTTCATTTCGAAATCGGCCGGTGGCATCGGCATCAACGTTCATAACATCCGCGCGAAGGGGTCGTTAATAACCGGCACCAATGGTGTCTCAAACGGCCTCGTGCCGATGTTGAAAGTATTCAACTCGATGGCCAAGTATGTGGACCAAGGGGGAAACAAACGACCCGGCGCCTTCGCCATTTATCTCGAACCTTGGCACGCCGACATCATGGAGTTTCTCAACTTGAAGAAGAACACCGGCAAAGAGGAGCTGAGGGCAAGGGATTTATTCTACGCCCTGTGGATCCCGGACCTGTTCATGAAAAGGGTAGAGTCTAATGGGGTGTGGTCTTTGATGTGTCCCAATCAGTGTCCTGGCTTATCGGACTGCTATGGGGAAGAGTTCGAGCAGCTTTACGCCAAATATGAGGAACAGGGATTGTTTGTTAGGTAAGCGGGAGCAATATGTAGAGAATCACTACTTAACTAGACACTCGCTGATTACTGTTAAAAAGCAGTGGATCTGATTTTTTTTATTTAATTTTATGATACATACTTTAAAGTTTAGCGTCAGTGGGAATTATGTCCTTTACAATATATAATAATAATATAATAAAGTGTCGGTTATCGTTTGACAGGCAAGTACCCGCGCAAGAGGTATGGCGGGCCATCATATCTTCGCAGGTCGAAACGGGAACGCCCTATATGTTGTACAAGGACGCGTGTAACAGGAAATCAAATCAGCAGAATCTCGGCACCATTAAGAGCAGCAACCTGTGCACCGAAATCATCGAGTACACGTCACCCGACGAGGTGGCCGTGTGCAATTTGGCCTCCATCGCGTTGAACATGTTCGTGTCCGCGGATAGGCAGAAGTTCGACTTTCACAAGCTGAAGGAGATCACGAAAGTCGTGACGAAAAATTTGGACAAGATTATCGACATCAATTACTACCCGATCCCCGAGGCCGAGAATTCGAACAAAAGGCATAGGCCCATTGGCATTGGGGTTCAAGGCAAGTAGTATTACAAACCTGCCCTCTAGAATAATTAAATAAAAGGTGAATTTTATTCCCGTTTATTTCCCTAATAGAAAGTGTTTTGTGAAAAACGTCTGTAATTTAAAAATGCTTTTTCATTTTCGAGGCACTGTTGAAATTCGAAAGTTTCGTAACTTTGTTTGGTTTACCGAAAACAAATCTTTTGGAAAAAGGGGTATTTGTCAAAAAATATGATTATTGCTGAAGAGGAATATTATTTTTTATCCTCAACAGCTTTTTTTTAGAATGATAATTATAATATAATTTCTCTTATTCAGTTTTGGAGTTATACACAGAATTTTTGAAATACTTGTCCAAACTTCAGGAGGTAGTTTGTTGAGGGGTTTTAATTGAAAATACGTATATGCGTTGATCTATATGTGCTTTCTTTTGGAAAGACAAACCAAAAAAATATAGGTTATGGTCTTTTGTGATACCACTGGCAGTAATAATTATTGCTGCCAGAAGTACCGCTATGAAATTTATATGTAAAAAACTAATTTTTTAGACCTTGTCGCCCTGTATCTTGAAATCATAGCATTATCGGACTAATCTTTATATATTTATATACGTAAAACCAGACAAAGGACTACCTCCCAAAGTAATTGACACCCTCTATATTTTCGGCGCTAAGCGCGCGACTTAGACCCACTTCCTCGCAGGCCTCGCCGACACTTTCATCCTGCTCCGTTTACCGTTCGAAAGCGAGGAGGCGGCCCGCCTCAATCGCCAAATCTTCGAGACCATTTACTACGGCGCCCTGGAAGCGAGTTGCGAGATTGCCGAGAAGGCGGGGCCGTATCAGACGTACGCGGGTTCGCCAGTAAGCCGAGGCATCCTTCAATACGATATGTGGAACGTCACACCTACCGATCTCTGGAACTGGGAGGAGCTTAAGATAAAAATCGCCCAACACGGCGTCAGGAACTCGCTACTCGTAGCTCCCATGCCTACAGCTTCCACGGCTCAGATTTTAGGCAATAACGAGAGCATAGAGCCCTACACGAGCAATATTTATACTCGTCGGGTGCTCTCTGGTGAATTCCAGGTGGTCAATCAACACCTGCTCAAAGATCTTACCGACCGAGGTCTGTGGGACGACAGGATGAAGAACCAGATCTTGGCAAATTACGGCTCGATTCAGAATATCCCGGGCGTGCCTGACGATCTCAAGGCCATTTACAAAACCGTCTGGGAGATATCGCAGAAGGCGATCATCAACATGGCCGCCGATCGGGGCGCTTTCATAGATCAGAGCCAGAGTTTGAACATCCATGTGGCGAAGCCCAATTACGGCGTGCTGACTTCGATGCACTTTTATGGATGGAATAAGGGGTTGAAGACAGGAATGTATTATCTGAGGACCAAGCCGGCGGCCAACCCTATACAGTTTACGGTCGACAAGAGTAAGTTGCTGGTGAAGAATGGCGACGTAAAGAACGGCGATGCGAAGAACAGTGAAGATGAGGCAGCGGCAGCGATGATGTGCTCCCTGCAGAATCCAGAGACGTGCGAGATGTGCAGCGCTTAGATAATTTTATTAGGTTAGATCACGCAGTCTTGGAGTTTCGCAAAGATTTATTTTAATCTGTATTGCTATTACTAAGACTAATTAATTAATCTTTAAGGATGTCCTGTGATCGAGTTTTTTACTTGTCAACTACAAGCTATATTAATTTTTTCGACGATTGAGTTTTATTTCTAAATGTGGTATACCAATGATATATGGGTCATTCAACCAATTTACACCGAATTAAATAATACATCGCTCTAGTTCCTACTACCATTTCTTTTGTTTTAAATTGTATATCTGTACCACGTTTTATAATAAGTTGTAATAGTGAAGTATTATAATGCATTAATTTTATTTACTTCATGGTTTAAGTAAATATCCCTTGCACAGTAGAATCTTCTATTGAAAACGGGGCACAAACGAAGTAAAAATTGAGAATTTAAAACTAACAGGGGCACTGTAAGGTAATGTTTTTGGTAATGACCTATTAAAGGCGGAAGGGGAAGCAGATCCTCCTCAGACAATTAAAGAGCTATCACAAGCGCTTAACTAAGTTTAGTCGACCATTCAAGAGCATTTGTTACAGATAGGCAAACCAAGCAGAGCAAGTGTTTGGGTTCTGCATGACTTACTACCACGTGCAACTTATTGCTAGAAAGGCACAAAAAAGAAGGGTTTTTGGATCGTTTGATTACAGGCAAAAAAAAAGAAATTAATCTTATATGACAATCCGAAACGCAAAAGATAATGGTTGTACCCAAACGAAACGCCAAAACGACTGCGAAACCGGGCCTTCACCCAAGGAAGGTGCTCTTGTGTGTTTGGCGGAGTATTCACGGAATTGTACATATATATATATATATATATATATATATATATATATATATATATATATATATATATATATATATATATATATATATATATATATATATATATATATATATATATATACACTTTACTTACATTTTACAAATAGGTTAAATTTATAAGTTTATGAAAACAAACAATTTGCGCCGATTGATAAGCACAAATTCCGCCAAATTTCTTGTAATTTGGTGGACACATTGCAATGTTTGTGTGTGTCTACCGGGCTGAAATGAGAGTGTTATAGGTTTAATACCAGATTTCAAATAGCCGCGCATGCGCATATTAAATGGTCCTAATCAAAATTTTTTTGATAGCTTCAAAAGTTCCTGCATCATCAACAGCAATTAACCACATTCACCCTTTAGCGAGTTCCATTATTTGGTTTTGGTTAGTTTGGTTGGTCACCTAGCTACAGAACACAAAATATGAACATGACTTCTTTTATATAAAGGCCCCCACAGACGCTCAGTTTTGGTTGCAAACCTAGTTTGTGCAGGCATATCGGTGCGTTTGTGTGAACGTCCGGCCGACTGCACAGGCCGTTGGCCTGGCCTGAGCAAAATCAGACCGCGCTAGAATTTAGTCTGCGCAAACTTGGAAACCTGAGCGTGTGTGGACTTGTTTAGTTTTAAGGTTTATTTAGAATCCATCTGCATGTTTCTGGTATTATTAGTCCCAATGCCTGAGGTGAAATTATTGTTGAAAACTTTAAGTCTTCATACGTTCGACCAGTAGCGAGAAATTTTAAGGTAGCTGTTAACCGCTCGTGGCATGAAATTGATTGCCTCAAGCATGTGTCTTGCTTTTGTATTAAAGGAGAAACGAGTTTCAATAATTTCAAGTAGGTTGTCTCGTCCATTCTTGGGTAGTTAAACCAATCCTGCTTGTCAAATTTCAAATCAGCAAGCAAATTGACATGGGAGTAATCATTTCTTTTGAGTAACCAATCTTTGGTCCATTTGCTTCTTTGCACCAACCGTTGCTTTTTTTGCTTTTTCTTTATTGCACAGGCAAGCACAATGCAATATAATGCCGTGTCTCGAGAAGCCATTTTCTTTCACTAAGTATAGAAAAACCGTGCCAAAACTATTGAATGTTAATTTACCCAGTTGGCTGTATAGAAAGAACTGTGCTATAAAACTGCGTGTGTGTGGGACAGGCAATAGTACAGTTAAACTGCACAAATTGGCCTGTGCTAAAAAACTGAGCGTCTGTGGGAGCCTTTATGTTCAGTCGTAAGTTGGTATTTTTTGTTTGAATTATTCCATGCGACGTGTTAGGATGAACGTTTGCGTTGAGATTTATTGAAATTGACAATGAACGTTATTGTCACCTCGACAGATCGCCAAATTTGTAGTGTAGCGACATGATTCCAAATTTAAGCGGCCCAATTCGTCACGCGTCCAAGCTTTCGCGCATGAACAGTGCGGTCCAGTACGGCACCTCGCCACCAGAAAAACAGGTCTGTACCGTGACAATTCTCGATGCGTGTCACGCTATCGGCAGGCACGTCTCCCTCCTCCTCAAGCAAAACTCCTTGATTACCGAGTTGCGTTTACACGATCGAGACGCTGCAGTATGCTGCGTCGCCGAAGATTTGAGTCATATCGACACCCGAACAAGAATAAAATCCTACTGCGGCAACGGCGTGTTGAAACACGCGATATTAGTGAGTAAAGTTAGGCTGGGGTGCGGGCGTTTAATCGCCGGTCGGCCGTCGTAGGACTCTGACATTGTCGTCTGCATTGGGGGCCCCAGGACGAAGCTGTCCGAGACCCCGCGGGACTTGTTCGAGAAAAACTTGGACGACGTGAGGTCCGTCGCCCTTCACTGCATAGAATTCAACCCTAAGGCGGTGCTTTGTATAGCGAAACCTCCCGTGGAAGCGTTCGTACCATTGCTGTCGGAGGTATACGCGTTGGCACGACCGAAATTAACCAAATTTCTGTTGTCTGTGGTTGACGTTGCATGTTTATTAGGAGTATAAACGCGCAGGTGTCTACGACTTTCGTAAAATCGTCGGTTTGTCGTCGATACAGTGTATGAGGGCGAACTACTACACAGCCCTAGTTACCGGACAGGACTGCTCGGAGGTCCGGTGCCCGATAATTGGGGGCGTCGCCGATGATAGCGTCGTCGCCGTCGTTTCGGCGGCCAGGCCCGCGCGCGTCCACTCGGTAGATACATTTAAATTAATTTATTAAAACACAACCATCCTATTATGTACTTAACATACTTTTAAATAATTGTACTAAACACTCCGAAATCAACCTTTCTTTTGATGGGACATTATACGACGTTAGATAAAACATGAATGGCGCGAATCTCTAATGGTCCTAACCTCAAAGCAAAATACCATAGAACAATGCTTAGAAAAGAACACTACATTTTCTCCTCTTACGAAAAATAAAACTTACTCTACTTTTACAAGTGTAGTTTCTGATGAGGTTTAAGAATCCTACCTAATCAAGTATTAGTACCGAACTTAAGTTCCTGGTTGAATTGCCCTTGGAGAATGACCGACAGAATAATTTGGTTTATTAGGGCTTGATACACTTTTTTACTTGATTGTTCAACTTCTGATATTGTAGTACACAATCGGGGTTTTCATTGGCGTAGAATCTGGCAAATTGTTACTGACATCAACGTTGGGCAAAAGTGATAAGATATTACTATCAAGAGGAGCACTTTGTGACATATATTCCTTCTAAAAGGTTTCCTGTACATTAAAATCGGTAGAAATAAATCCAGAACAATTTTGAATATCCTTAGCATGAACGTGTTTTATATTATTATTTACTAGATCTAAATAAGTTGAATGACTAAATATTTTTGCAATTTTGCCTTTCTGCCAGAGTAGCTTATCTTTAAGATACACAGCCTGATTCAAAGAATACAATTTCATTTTTTGAAAAATGTCTATGCTATTGTCTATATTTGGACGTTTTTTATTCTGAAAAGGTTTCAATAAATCAAATCGAGTTCTTCGTTTTAACTTAAAAATACTTTCTGAAGGAGAAATACCGGTAACTGTTGACGGTGTGTTTTTATATATAAATAGAAAATTTAATAGTCTGGTTCTTAATACGTATTGACTTATTTCCCCTTTTTTAAGAAAAATAAGGTCTTTTCTAAGTTCATTTTAATACTTTGAAGACTCATATCAGCAAGACCGTTACTTTGTGAGTGATAAGATGAAAATGTTATTGGTTTTATGCCATCCTCGTCGCCAAATTTGTTATGTCTTTAATTTTCAATAATTACATTAAACACTCCGAAATAAACCTTTATTTCTTTAGACGAGAACATCATTCGACAATACATAAAACGTGATTGAGGCGAATTTCTAAGGTCCTAACCTTAAAACAGAAAACCATAGAACAATGTCTAGACAAGCACAGTACACAACCCTGCCCGTGTACTGATTTTTGGACCACCGCTTTATTCAAAAATTTTTGCGGTTTCCAAAAGTTACAACACAATGCACATAAGACTAAATTTGGTATATGCCGAAAATACTGACAATGCAACACACTGAAGCTCAGATTTTCCCTAGGCATTACATTTTAGTTGCCCGCTAGTAATTCCAACTTTAAAGACTGCAAATCGGTGACGTATTTTCAGCAACACCACAAAACGATTCAGGATCTGCTGTCGAAATCCGAACGAGAACTGGTTAAATCGTATCGGCAGAATCAAATAGTTTGTTTGGCGTCTGCGCTGGCCGTGTCCAGGTTCATCGATTCGCTGTCGAAGGCGTTAAATGGCGCGTCAAATTGCGTGGAGTGTGCGTTTATTCGTCAAACAGGACACATCGGCCAATTTTTGCCTTATATGACGTCTATCGTTAGGCTCGGTAAGTTGGTTAGTTACAAATAATTGTGCAGAGTACAGAGTCACGGTTAAGCGTCGTATTTATTTGTCTTGTTTTACTTCTAATGGCCAGGTGTACTAGGAATATTAGGCCATTTGTTGTAATAGTATTTAAAAAAATGGACCTGGGGATTTTAAGGTCGACATGGAATACTGTCGTCCCACATGCCGAACATCAGCGGTTACGAAGCCTTTTGCCTTAAAAGGGGATCGCTGTACGTTAAAGATTTGATCAAGCTCGGCGAATCTTTTGTCACAGGTGCAACGGCGCGCGCAACCTTTAATTGTGATAAATAAATCTATACCGTCATCTGTGGTTGTGTCATTTGTCCAATCTGTAAGTTTTTGTTAACCGGCGCCGCTATTCAAAATTTAAAAAGTTGATTCGACGATGTCGCTATCCGACGTAGACCTACCGAATTACGAAAAGAGCTCCGAGCAAAAGGTGTCGTGTCCGGTGCATCACTCTCGCAACACAAATGCCAAAGTCTTGGACAGATTGGAGGAGACTTACTGGGCGACTTGGAAGCCCAAGAGGGCGCCATTGCCGCCTCGACTTAGCAGGAAGGCTCGAAAAGTTCCTCCCGAGGTGTGCGACCAACCCACAATACCGGAAACCGTCTCCAACAGTACCACCAGCAAAGCACGTGGCGACGCGAGTGACGTATTGGTTAAATACTTCATGGCGAAAAAATTTGAGCCGTCATCTCGCGAGGAGTCCACCGAGGGTCTAAACGAATCGAAGATGGAACCAGTGGCGCCCAGGTTCGTCGAACGGGGCTCGGATGCCTCAAAGACGGAAGGCGCCTGCCAAAATGTTTCCGTAGCTCAGGAACGCGACAAGAACGAAGACAGAGGTGATTCTCAGCAAACCAAAGGAGTGCGGCTGTACAGGAAGCCATGTACGTCGTCCGGGTATGTCAGGGGCGGCTCGTACCCGCTGAAATCTTACCATAAGAGGGAACCTATCGGGCCCAGAGGTCAGTTTAGGTTGGGCGCGCCGGGCAGTCCTCTATTTGTCACGTCAAATTCGTTTAGTAGAAAGACGAAATAAAATAAAACCACCCGTTCAAGATATAAAATATTTATTGAACGAAATATAGTGTGTTTCCGAAAAACAATAGAATCGATAAAATTATTATTGCAGCTAAAGAGGACGACGCGTGCGCGACGATGTTCGCCACATGCGGCTAGGCATTTAAAAACGAAAAAATCAGTTCGTTTGGCTGACGCGGGGGTGCCCTACCGGCTTCCTTGGTACGAAAAAAAAACGTATCTGGTTCCTTCGCACATAATAAGGTGATCGCGCTAATTGACTGCGTTGAAACGTATATACGTAAAACTTAGGCCGTGCGCGCAATTTCGGGACGAAAATCAACGGCGAGCGAGTGGCCCGCGATGACGTAGATTTACACAAAATATCAAACTTGGTACAGTTTTCATAGTGATCAAAATGTAATAAGTTACAAATAAAAAACCGACCTTATAAACATGATAAACGTCCTCTCATTAGTTATGACGTCAGTGCTCGTATCGAGATAATTATATATATAATAATAGATAATAATTGTTGCGGATCGTCTATGAGCACAATAGGTTGTTAGTGCTGCCATTCGTAATATTAGTTTATGTTTTTACTAGACATTATTATTTTTTGACAAGCAAATCTTTACTGACCACATTTTATGTCTATATAATTCAGTAATTGCGATTTATCTAAATAATATTAACAAATTTTAAAACATCACGTTACGTTTAGAGCTTCATGTCCCTTGTCATGTCTACTTGTCCCTATGATCTAACAATTAAATAAATTTAGTACCTATCAGTTAGTTGCTATGAATTTTATTAAAATTTACATTCAAAGAGTCAAGATGTTTTTCATGGTAGCTTTCATAGATAGTTTATTTCCTATAATGCCAAAAACATGATTCTAAACTGGATTTGTTAATTTTTCACAACTTCCACTGCTTCACTATGTACTTAAATCTATATCTATATATGTAACACATTTTTTGTTTCATTTAGAATGTTTAAAAATTGCGCCCTACATACATTTGACCAATTAATCGAGGCTTGCTTGTTTGCTTGACAAATCAAAATATGTGGAATCACTTTACTCAATCAGAAGTTTACTATTTTGCTGCAGCAAAGAAGTTTTTCCCCGCAATTAAATTTCGCGTTACACTAACAAACACCTTCCCTGTATTTGGACAACCAGGAATAAAACTCCATTAATTGTTTTAGACAACATTTGACAAATGCACGCGGCGATGTTTATGAACACGGAAACATAATCCGAGCACTGACGTCATGAGGCGCTAACCTCGAGTCGGGCGGATGCGACTTGTAGCCTCGCGAATTTCCTTAGATTTCCAGTGACTTTCGTTAATAATTATTTTTCATTTCATGGTCGCTAGGGTTTACTAAGTCGTGAAATCTATCGATTTTCATAATATCCAAAAATTAGTGAAATTTTCTAATTGCGCGAACCAAGATTGGGAATCCTAACCGAGATTTTTTTAAATGTTGGCTTCGCGTACCGACATTTGTGTTTCTGTGAATGCATTCCTCACGAAGTTAAAAATATCGAGGTTTGCGAAAGCACAAAACTGCGTAACGCATATTTATAACGTGTAGTGAAAGTCGGTAATTTGTAATGTTCCCAGTAAAACTTAAGATCGAGGGCCACTCATGAAATTTGCATCAAATGTTTACCAAACCGGGGTAGTCAAAGGCCCGATATTTATGCAGCCACAATTTCATTGCTCGACCGGCTAGCGGAATGGATGTAAAAAAAGTTAAATGACTTAACGAGATCATAATGAGCTTAAAACTAGTCGCTACGAGATGTCTACACGCTCGGATACCTCGGCACCGTCCCACAATAGAGAATAAAGGTGAACGCGAAATAACAAACAATTACAAAAACTGAAGACATACCGGGGCGTACCAACAATTATGTTTTTCATTCGTTGTAATGTTTTCAAAAGTGACTGCGTCTCTGGGTTAGAAGATTTACGACCGTAAAGAACCATTATGATGTTAAGGGCCCGCACAATGATTGGTTTGTTTACAGTGGTGTGGCCTATTATCGCGGAGCTTGCTCGAAGAATATTTTTGCGTTTCAGTCTGTTTTAATAAGTTGAACGTGACTTACCATCGACTATATTAAGGTGTTTCCGGATAAGTAAGCGTTTTAACAAGATTTCGCCTTTTAATTTCTTACAGAGCAGCGGTAGGATAGTGCTTGCGGTATTCGGTTATATAACTAGTTAAACAGTAAAAAGTGACATTTCGGTTCTGAAGGATAAAAGAAAAATTCAACACAATATACGTGGCGCAGTTGGCCGTTTGAAGTTAACTTAGTTGATATGGGAAACCGCAAACATAGACGCAGTAGTAGCACTAGCAGAAACACAAGAACTCAACACAGGTCGAGATGCTCAGAACAAAGTTCGAATGTCAAAAATAGCGACACAAGTGTTAGTCGGTATAATAGTGACGGTAACACGGTTCCTCTTCAAAATTTGTTTGCTGTTAAACAGGCTGTACATGTAGACATTACAAGAAACAGTAGTTCTTCAGTTGGCAGTGATCGAGAGAGGATTAGAATTATTGAAAATGTCATAAATAAATGGCTGGATAGAAATAAAACGTACGTTGCGGTACAGGCTGACTGGAACGAGGTTACTCCACACGTTCACACAGTGGACGAATCTTTTCCCGATCATCAATATTTTCCGACGGCAACAAAAACTATGATTAATCGGCATAAGATTCAACATGAATATTGAACTCAATATTTTTTTGAAAAAGAAAAACAACTATTACGTCAATGTTAAATTTCAGGCAAGAACGCTGTGGTCACGATTATTGATGGAATAAAACAAAAATTCAATTAGGGGCTAAAGCTGGAAGGCACACTACCACTGAACCTAACCTAACCCAAAAACAGACCAAAGGAACCCAAAGCCTAATTTTTCAAAACCAGCTAATCCTAGGCTAGAATTTGGATATTCATTGAATACAAAAAGATGCTACAACTCTAATGATCCAACATGATTATCCCGAGCCAAGAAAAGAGTGTTCCATATGTAAAGGACTAGGGCATACAAAAACTGAATTCGATAGAAACAAGCCTGGCTTACATAAGCCCCAAGACGAATACGTGATACCAAGATGTTACAACAAGGAAAAATTGGTTGTTCGAGAAATGACTTGCCTTCCTAACATACTAATAAACATGGACTCTCGGATAGTAGCCACTCTACACTCTACAAAACACAGAAAAAGTTGTTGTGGAGTAAAAAAAGGGTGGTAAGGTAAAAGTTATTTGATCATTTTCAAACCAAAAGTTTCTATGGTTTCGGAGTGTAATGCGAAAGTTTTGAAAGTGTAAATGAAAGTCGCTATATAAATATCTTTAAAAGTAGCTTTTTTTCGGATCTAGACCAAAGAGAATGGACGATACATTTCTAATTCTCGAAATAACTATCACAAAGTTAAGTAGGATTCGAAGAGAAGCTGAACAAAATTAACGCCTGCGCAGTCGAAACAGCGTAATACGTCTTTTATGCTAAAAAAAAACTATTATACGAAGTAGGGAGGTAGATGCTTCTACGTAGGAGTGTAATTACCAATGACGGTAACACAAAAAAAAAACTTGAAAACGATAGGTATGACGGAATAATTAAGAAGGTGTCTACAATAAAGCCTCTCACACTGCTATGCACGATTGTAGTGGTGACTCAAGCTCTGAACTGAAAGGTCCTGTGGAGGCAAAATGATTGTTTCTACAGAGAATTGAGTATAGAATACGGTTGAAAGAATGATTCGAGGTTCTCCGATCCCGAACCTCTATGATTATGAAATTAGTTAAAAAAATTAGTTTTATATTATATTGTCGACAAAAATTTCCGAGGACGGAAAATGGGCAGCATGGCCGACCGAAACTTAACTGCGTCACTGGGTCAATATATCGATGACGGGGTTAGAAGGGTTTGTTTACAAAGCGGTACAAAAATTAACTTCGGACATCGCCGGAGCCTTGAAGCGTGCCTCCACCAGTCGACCGATCCAAAGTGCCAGCCATAACCTCCCGAGGGAAATCCGCTCGCTTATCCGAGAGAAGAACCGAGCAGCCCGAAGGGCACGTACCACTTTGGATCCGGCCGACAAAAGAGCGGCCAACCGACTTCGACAAGAGGTAAAAGAAAGACTCAAAATCTACAGGGACGAAACGTGGCAGGAGAAGCTGGATTACATAAACACGTTCGCCGGTACAAACCTTTGGAGGACCGCCAAGGCGCTCACCAAAGCACGGAGGAGGAAAATACCACCCCTCCTCACAAAGGACAATCAAAAAGCGACGACAGACGAGGAGAAGGCGGAGATTTTCGCAGCCCTCCTACACAAACAGTTCGAAGACAACCCCCGTCCAAAGAAGTGCAAACTCATCGACGAGGCGGTCGAAGAAACCTCCAAGATCCTCCCGAACATCACCACTAGTGAAATGCTCCCTCCTGCCACTCCGAAAGAGGTCTACATAGAAACTAGACGGGTCAAACCAAGAAAATCCCCTGGATTAGACAGCGTCTCTAATGCCGCGCTAAAAAGGTTGCCGAGAAAGCAAATAGCCGAACTAACCAACATAGTCAACGCCATCTTCAGGCTAAAACACTTCCCCAAGCACTGGAGGAGAGCAAGAATCATCATGATTCAAAAGCCGGGCAAAAGCAGTACAGACCCGGCCAACTATCGGCCCATTAGTCTGCTCTCCTCCCTGGGGAAGATAGCGGAAAGAATTCTATTAGCTCGGCTAAAAGACATCCCGCAGTTGAGGACGATGATTCCGGAAGAACAGTTTGGATTCCAGGCCCAAAGATCAACCACCCACCAAGCGGCCAGACTCGCGGAAAACATCCTGGAGGCCTTCAACAAAAGGCAGCACGTTGCGGCTGCCTTTTTGGACATATCGAAGGCCTTCGACAAGGTCTGGCACGCGGGCCTGATCCACAAACTCTACGCAAGAGGAATCCCTACCCACATCGTCCAACTGATCGGCACCTTTATCCTGGGAAGAACCTACAGTGTACAAATAGAAAATACAGATTCGACAGAATACAGCATCAGGGCGGGAGTACCGCAGGGCTCACCCTTATCCCCGATGCTGTACAACCTGTACACGTACGACCTGCCTAGAGACCAAAAAACGACAAATTACCAATTTGCGGACGACACCGCAGTCACGGCTACATCTAAGGTTCCCGAAGCGGCGGCCAAATTTATACAAAATCACCTGAAGCATATCGCACTATGGGCCAACGCATGGAAAATCCAGGTGAACGGGGCCAAAACACAAGCCATTTTGTTTACAAAGAAACGAAAAGAGCCAAGCACAGATCCAAATAAATGGTGAATGTACAAAATGGGCCAGAACCATCAAATATCTGGGGCTCACATTCGACAAAAAATTGGTCTGGAAAGACCATTCCAGAACCACAAAAGCTAAAGGATACGGAATCCGCAACCAACTGAGACCGCTACTAAACCCGAACAGCAGACTAAGCATCAGAAACAAGCTTACACTATACAAGCAGATCATCAGGCCAGTGGTCTCCTACGCCTCCCCGGTGTGGCTCCACAAGGCTAAGAACCTGATCAAGGACCTGGAGGTCCTGCAGGCAAAAACGCTACGATGGATCACGGGGGCACCGTGGTTCATCAGGAACGCCCAGATCCGACGCGATCTAGGGATGCCTACAATGCAGGACTTCCTGACTCAGGCGGGGGACAGGTTCTTCGCTAAAGCCACGAACACGGAAGCAGCCGTTATCAAAAGCTGCTTCAAATACAAACCAGGGGACCCCAAGAGGAGATTCAAGCGCCTGATGGACTACTAACATCTGCACGGCACACTTCAAATAACCAATGCCAACCCACGACTGCCAACCCGAGTCAGCATAAGAGAATCTTCAATAGATACAACAGCAGAGCGAGAAAGCCGCAACCACGACATATAATATTTAATTAGTACAAACAATGTTTAGTTTTAAGAGTAAAGGTCCTGTAAAACCAACTCGTAATATAGTTAGAAATCGATCGGGTTTGTTTACACAAATATGGACTTTACCGCGGAGCTTGCTCGAAGAATATGGCATACCATTGTCAGTATTACGGTGTTTCCGAATAAATAAGTGTTTTAACTAGACTTCGATCATTAATTTCTTGCACTTTAAATCCAAAAGCTTCGGCAAGGTGTCCCAAATTCCAGCCTTGTCATGGGCATATTCCAAAATATTAAGTTAGGGTAGGATTACGCCGAAGTTCGTGCATTTAAGTGCCTAGTATGGGCATTATTTTAGTTCAAGGCGAGCGCCTACTAATATGGTCACCTGGCCTACTCTAAACAAGTTTTATGGGTTATTTGCGTAGGGGATAGTTTAGCCTTTTGGTTTTCAATGCAATTAACATACGAATTTTAAAATCAATAATCAATACTTAACCTGTGTTTGGGTTCTACCGGTATCAATACAACCAATAAAGATTGATATATAAGTATTTAATCCACAATTGCTTTTTCACTTTAAATGGCGATTATCAATTGACAAGTGAAAATCAACTTTCGTTTCCATCAAGGTTTGATTTTACGGTATTGTGACCGATATAACAATAAGAAGCGTCAGTAGAAAAAAAAATTTCAATGTACAAATTAATTGTTTATAACTAATTTAGTCATTTTTAATTGATGGAAGGATACTTTCGTATGTTTCCTTATCAGCTTATAAATTCCCTAATTTAACGGTCGTTTTTGCCAATTATTACAGGTCTAAGGGGACGGTACCGGGCCACGAGGCCATATTATATTTACATATTAATTGTACATTAGAAACACCCCGTATAAATTCAACCCGGTTTTTGTTAATATTTCTTCCATTTCTCCTCCGTGCCCGTCCGTCGAACGGGCCGAAAACTATTAATATCTTTTCCGTTTATCTACAGTTCTATATACAGGGGTCGGTCGAAAAATATAACGCGTCATCGTTGTACCGGGGTCGGCGCCCAAATGTTCGCGTATTTTTGGTCGACGGCTTATATTTTAAATATACTCGTAACTGCTAAGGTCACTTCGTTAAAAAATGCGTGAGCGAAATGTTTAAGACCCCACCCCTCGCCCGGGCACCGACCCGGTCATACGTTTTTACCAGTCGCGTTCTCGATCGATGTCTGTACTATTTAAAAAAAAAACATTCTATTTTATTAGTGTTATCCCTTTCATATACTTCACCTTAGATATTCGTAAGTTGTGAGATGTGCCGCTTAACCTCAATTGCTAAACAATTTCAAAAATTCATTAGCTCAATTGAATGGTCGACTAAAATCAATATACCTATGAGGCACCATATCCCATATTTTTTAATTCAATTCTCTGAATCTTCATTATTTCATCTTTATTTTTTAGCTTTTTCTGTGGAGATATACTTTTGGGAATATAACAACTTTTCCAGCGGTTTCCCGAAGAATGTGTTACGGTCCAATAGCGTCCGCGACTTTTTCATCAGTGACGCGAAAAATCTCCCTCCCCGCCGAACTCGAATGAATATTTCTGAGATCACCCCGAATTAGATTCAAGCACCTCCCGAATCGATCGAAAACGCTACCTGAACACGCGACAACTGTTCCCCGTGCCACACACATTCTCTCCCCTCTCCTCCCACACTTTAACATTATATCACAAAAAAACGAGAAAAAAACAAAACACTAGCAACGGCAAACGAAAAAATGGTTTTGTTTTCTTTTTTTTTTTAATAACGACGGAGGGGGCGGTTTTATTAGCCGCCGCCGTCATCGCCGCGCGCCGGTTCGGAATCCGGACGCCGGGCGTCTTCGCCATCGTCGTCGGGCGCCGTGGCGTTCGGTTCGCTACGGGGACGTCCTCCAGGAGACGATCCCCGCGGTTCGTTTCACCAGCAGAAGACCGACAGTTCGCCGACGTGCTCTCCGCCGGGTCTCCACGACGTTACCGATCTGGCTTTGAGCTGACGGAAGCACCGGAAAAATTAAGATATATAACTCTTTTAGTGGCAAGGAGCTCCGTCCCGCTGCTCTTGTTAGTTGTGAAAAATGCCAGCGTCGCGATAGCGCTCCTTTTTATATAAACATCGTGATTATTTTTTGAGGCTGAAATTTTACAGAGCAATTTGAAAACTGCGTTAGTTATTATGAGAGAGATAGCGGAAGTGATATTGTGGTTCCTGTAATCCGGGAAATGGGTATCACAAGAAGGCCTACTATTTGTTCTTACGTGGTCTTCTGCTATGTTTTCCAGGAACAAATTTCAATTATTTTTAATTTTTTTTTTATTTAGTTAACAATGCTTTAGACTCTAGCGTCACCCGGACATCCTCCATACAGTTCTTCGTCAGCATTATCTGCCCAATAAGCAGTATAGATGAATCTCTGGTTGGAACGAAATGGCAAACCACACTCAACCAATAATTACCAAATAAAAAACATAAATGTGATTCTATTACTATTACTATTGTTTAGGTTATCATGTACTGACAATTCTATACCAGTAGAGGGTTAGCCAAGTTACTTTTGGATAAAGGGACACGCATAACTTGTACTACAAGGCGCAACAGAAGGAAGCAAAAAAAAAAAAAAAACGAAAATGGAAATTATGAAACAGAAATAATCAAGTCAGCTATGATACATGTCTACAATCAATTTATGGGTGAAGAATGACTGAATTCATATAATTTATCAGCATAATTCCAATAACAAAATGACCGGGCTGGAATTTACTTGCAGTGTTATAAGTGTACTAAAGAGAAAATGTTAAAAGATCCAACTTCATTCGCTCCATATGTAAAACAGAACTGCACGATGTTTGCGTAGGAAAACATATGTTTTAAAAAAAATTGTTAATATTCCGTATACAGAACGAAAAAATAGGAAGGAATTTTGGGTCCATAATATTAATATAAAACGACCAACATTCGCGGAATATCACAGTTTATTTTGTGATTTAATTTTTTAAGTTTTAAATATTTTTAGACCGAACTAACCAAGTTTATTTTGATAAAATACATCATTTAATTTGATACCTCACGAACAAAATGAATATTTTTATACAGAGTGGTTCATTTAAAAATTCTAATAAAAGTTATTTTGTTCTGTGGGTGAGACGAAAGCATGACATTTAATTTTGACAAGTTCAGCTATGTTTTTTTAACTAGCAACACATATTTTTCATTGCAGAATCAGAAACAAAAAACAAATAATGTTTGTTAACAAAATTTTCAAAAATATAACTTAAAATAAAATAAATTTATATTTATTGTTTTTTCTCGTAGAATAAGATTCTGCAATAAAAAATATTGTTTCTATTTAGAAAAAAAAAAAAAAAAACAAAGCTGACCTTCCCTGTCTCAAGTCAAATGGATTTAATTTACCCTTCTTTTTCATCCTCCCTAGGTGGTCGATTAATAACCTTAAAATGAAATCAATTAGAATCAGAGGTAGGTTGCGATTTCACGGATTGCTACTTTGCCACTGCTACATCGATGGTCGGCGCTATATTTTAAAAAATAGCAGTGATTTCGATATAAAAAAAAATTATTTTTTAAAAATTACATAAACAATGCCGTCACAAAACAATTATTTACTAGGTTTATTGATTTTCTTTCCGATTTGATTCTTTTCAAATATTATCTCCGTGAAGAATGTTAGAATATTCTAGATGTCAATCTTAATAAATTTTGCTACATCCATAATTACACTTAGGTAATGTGGAAAAACAGCACCAACTTAACCAACAAATCCTTGCTCTCTTCTCAATAAACTTGGAAAAAGGAAATAAATATTTTTGTTGTTGAAACAAAAAAAAATATGCGAACGACGTTGATAACATAATTTGATATTGAAGAGATAATTTTGTTCCGACGGTCTCTCTTATTTGCTTTTCCCGTTAGCAGTCGTTATTTAAATTTCGGCACAATACGTAGAATACGCCCCGAGAATTGGATACAGGTAGGATATTAAAAAAAATAAAAAAATACCTGCTGCATCTTCTCAAAGTCCAAGTACGGTCTTTGGAGGTGGGAGCTTCGAGCGTGTCTCGACCGTTTCCTAGGGGACACCTCGTAGTGGAGCAGCTTCGAAGGTGGACTTATCGACATCCCCTTTACGCCCACCGCTGCTCTCCTGCCCGGTTTGACCGCCTCCAAGGGCGGCGACGTGCGGAACCTCACCGGCGTAGCGCTGCACCCCAACAGGTTGTGAACCTGAAAAATACCCACGTTACCGGTTTTTAGATACAAGTTTTGGTTAGTTTTCAGCGTTCGCACTGAAGTGATTTCTTTTTAGCCTAAGTCATTTTTTCCTTTTCTTTTGCAAATATGTAATACGTTATTTTCATTAATTCTTCAAATAATTTGAAATTGAAAGTTTAGTTCAAATTTACTCTTTTTAATGTTGTCGCTTTTTTCGGTGATAATAAGCACAATTCGACAACACGGCATGACTTTGCAATTTAACAAGGTAAACCATTGTTGCCTGATCAGCTTAACGACTAAGGCGAGTCGTCACCTCGTCATCAGACGATCCGGAATGTTCTATCACGTGACCTTCGTCGCCGTAGGTCCTCAGGTAAGGCGAGGACGAGGAAGTGGGGCTCAGGTTGCTGTAGTGCGACATGTTCTCTTCGTTTTCTGGACTAAACCTGCGTGCAATAGTAAAATATGGGTTTTAAAACATCTAAATCGACCCACCATTGAATCATGGGTCACCCCTTTCGGTTACTTACCTGTGGTGGTCGCCGACTTGAGACCATTTCCTCTTCTCCGGCAGACACACAGAGGCCGCTCGCAACGGTCTGACCGTCCGCTGGGCCTGGGCCTGGGTGTTACCGTTAATCACTTCGAGCTCCTCCTCTGAGGAGTGAGGATCGTGTTGATCAGGGGCTGGGCTCTCCATCGAGCAGCCGGTGTCTGCGGGCGACACACTGCATAGCCGATCTGCGCATGAAGAACATTTTCGTTTATTGATATTTAGAAAAAAAAAATGTTTTCGATCCCTTATTATTTTTTTCGGTTTGTTTGAAAAAAATATTTTATATATTTTTATTTTACCAATTTCTTTTATATATTTATTATTTATTTTTTTTTTGCGAGGGTTTACTGTCAACAGTTTAATAATTTGACACAAAAAGTAACATTCAGTATAGTTTTGAAAAGCAGCACAATGGCGAACAAAAGGAAAGAACGAATTTAGTGCTTGCGATGATGCAAATAAATTATCATGTGGACAACAACAATGGCTGGGAGTGCCATTGCATATTGATGTATACGTGATCAAAAATAATAAAAACAATTATTGATAAGTTCAACACACGAACGTTGGATCACAACCGAATCTAAGCCATTGAAATTGTCATATTCGCGACGCAAGTAGACTTGTACACATGGTGCCACAAATTAAAAAATAAATAAAAAACGCGTGAAAACAAGAAAGAGAGCGATAGTGATTATTGTTTTTATTTTTCCTTAATTATATTTGAATTTTAAAATATCGTCTACGATTGGTCACCGTTTATTTACTTTCTTCTGCAAAATATAAGACACATTTAACAAAAACTGAATAGGTGGTCACTCCTGGATGTCATGGATACGCGAAACTAGAGTGGTTGGTGTCAATGTCATGACAAGGTCGATGTCTTACATAATAAACCCGATAAATCGTGTACGTGGCATTGTGAACTGTCAGGAACCAAGCAATAATGAGATTTGACACTCCTGTCTTGGTATAGGGGCGAAGACTGGCGTCTGAACTGTACCACGGAACAAAAAATTATTAATTTTTGCGGATTTAGTTCATCGTCATGAAGCCGGGCGGTTCCGAAAAGTCTGGCAAATTCGAGATCGAATTTATCGGCTGCGGTTATTTTTAAATTTTTATCAGGAATACGATTTCGAGTAGAACAACATGTTTGTTTTTCGACAATACGATACGTCTATAAATAAAGGATTTTACAAGAGGCGTTATGCCGCAGGTTGCCCTATACAGTTACTTGACCCAGGGACGATTGTCCAGGATAGCCGCCTGACACACGCCAAAAAACGACTAGCGGACTTGCCGCCCTAACCATTGTTATTCTTTGGTTTGAATGCAATAACGGCCGTTCTAATCAACGTTAATATGAAAACTGGAAATTAGTAAACAGGAATGAGGAAAAAGAATTATAAATTTTGATTCGAGTTCAGGACCCGTCATGTAGCTAGCTTATGCGATAGAAAATTAGAAAACACAAATATCATCCCTTCCATATGGTACTACATCAAGAACTTCTGAACCGTGATTTTGAAAAAAAGGGTTAACTTCGTGTATCGTTATAAATGAAGCAATAAATGCCAATCCAATTGTTTTTCGGATGAAGCCACTTTTGGCAGTAATGGTGTTATAACATGCATTATTACTCAATCCATTCTCCGTATGGGATGTTTTAAAACTAAAACTATTGGTCTCTTAATGTGCTGTATGCAATAAAACACTTTAAAGTTATTGGACCACATTTTTTTCGCGAACCACTTAAAGATATTTAAACTTTCTCCAGAATGATTTACTTTTTTAAGAAGCTGATAACATTCACCTCCCACAAATGTGATTTCAGCAAGATCGAGCTAATCCGCATTACATATATGTATAATTGCAAAATATTAATGGCGTAAAACCAAGAATTTAGTATATTTTCAATATCCAAAGACATGGCGAACATGATTTCAAGGTGTTTTATTATAAATCGAGATATCCTCTATATCTGTGTGCCCGCTTCCAAATATTTTGCAAATGGTTTAAGATATTGAGTATTTATAACTTTTGGTAAAAATGTTTTGAACGTGGTGATTTAGTTTTTGTTATATGTGATTTGGTTTCTTGGATGTTTTTTTTATACTAATACTGTAGTGGCGTAGCTGTCTAAATAAACACCGGAGCTCATTGAACTAAGAAAAGAAACAAATTAAATGATTTGGACTGCAGCGTTAGAGGCTGAAGAATCTCTCCCAATAATCCAATTCCACGACCTGGTGGATTATCGTCGAGGGTAAGGTACCTGGCGTTCGCATGAATTCAATGTGCCGACGACATTCAGGTATTACTAGTTCTACAACCGACTCGCCGATATTTTCCGTTTCTTCCTGGCCTTTCACTCGTAATTGTAATATGTCGCCACCGACAGTGCCGGTGGGTTTCCGCATTTGTATGATCGCACGAGCCGTCTTGTTTTTTTTTAAATATTATTATTATAAATTATTTTTACAGTTTTTAGTTATATACTTCGGTTACAAGGAAGAACTGTGTTTTTTTGTTTTTTTCGTTTCCATTTTCGTCACTTTTTTGCCTGTTTTTTTTTGCATAATTAGTTTCCTACGTTAATCGGTTTTTGTTTTTTCTTGGGTCTGTTTATTATTTTATGATATAATCCGAGTCATATACAGAAAATATTTTGTCCCTTACCTTTATTTACATAATTTGTTTTCGGTTTTATTCAATAATTTCCGATAGTTTCACTTTTATCTTATTAATTTTGTGTGTATTTAAAAAAAATAACGCGACGTTAGAGCCGCCCCCTCCCCTAAATAATTTGGCAGCGGAATTCACACACACACACTCCACAACCAGAAATAGCAGCCCGAAACACACGTTCGCACACGTCAACAGTTTTAACCTTGAACATCATAAACAAATCGTACGTTTAACATTGAAACTCGTCCGGCGATACCGCCCGCGCGTCTCCCACGGACCGAGAACAAAGAAACGTCAAAAACTCACCCGGCGACGTCGCCGCCGGCTCGAGCTCTTCGTCGGACTCGGTACCCGAATCGTGGTCATCGTCTTCTACCTATAAAATCGCAAAAACAAACTCCTTCAACTTAAACCGCAAGCCGGCACCGTTCTCTTTGTTCTTGCCACGAGCACGGCCATGTTTTTTTTTCTCCTTCGGTCTCGACACAAAGAGAGCCCGGCACACATACACACACATACATACCTTTTCCACATATCTGTGGTCTTCGTTAATCGAATGCGTCCTTAGCTTGTGCGTTAGAAATTTCAGCATGTTTTGCTTTTTACGCGACTTCCTTTGGTCGGCCACTTTGGCGCTTTGGTCGTCGTCGTCGAGAGAAAACGGATCACCAACCGGCTGCAGGCCGGCACCTCAAACGCTCTCGGCAGCCATAATAGTTGTCTGTGGCCACGATCGTTTCTTTAACCCCCCGCGATCCTTACTATACTACCGATCGTACGTTGCACAAGACGTGTAGTTCAGCTGATTGCCACTACGTCGCGTTTATTATTTTTTTCTTTGTTACTCTTGTCCCGCAAACGTATGCGGGGAGGCCCTCTTTTCTCGGCAAAACTCCTGCACACATGCACACACACAACACACACGCACACGTAAGTTGTAGTTTAAATCAACCGTGGACGACGTGAAACATTGCCACGGCACACTGTGCACAGTTCGTCACCCCTCTCGCCCGTTGCTGTTCCCTCCGCGATTCATTGATGTCGAAGTCGAAGATGTCTCTCGGTGGCCGCCACGTCCTCATATGAGCGTCCTTTTCGACACAGTAACTGACGGTAATGTTGAAAGGCGGCGATAAGGCGAGTGATCGTGCGGGAAGTTTTACCAGGAATAGCGATGTCCAGATACGTGATGGAATGGATTATGCAACAGTGGGTGCACGCGACTTTACCGCGACATCTTCTCGGAAACCGTACGAACCGGCATTTCGCGCATTATCCGTCCGATGGCGATCGCGTCACTAACTTTTTTCCAGGATGCATTCAGACCGATCTCGTTTCTTTCATTTCGTTCTATTCCCCGTGTGAAACTTAGTTGACAGTTGACTGCGGCAATATAGATCTCTTGATAATTATTTGGTTTCGTTTGCTATTTCAAGTTCTTTCCTTCAAGCTCTCGTTTGTTATCGACTGCACGAGTGAATTTTCACAGTTTTTTCCTACGTGTAGGCCAATATCCATAAACACGAGAAGGCGTTAAATGTTAAATCGTAATTCAATGTTGGCGGCTCATCTACTCTGGGGTAGTTTCTGTTATTCTGTTGTTGAGTTGAGAGGAGAGAACATATACACCATAGGCATATAGAGCCCGCAATATTAGATTACCATTAAACATTTAACGAATTGAAATTTACGGATCTTGCAGGTGGACCGCTAGGGACTAAATCGCAGTGACACAAACAACATAACCTGCTTTTTGTGGCCAATAGAAGAAAAAGGAGATGCAGGTTTTATCAGTTACCGTACTTTTGTGAATTACTAAAACCTAAAGCAAAAAGCTTTCCGAAATTTTGGGGTACGAGCTATCCAAAGGTAGGTCACTAAAACGGACTGAAAGTTTCGGAGTTCTTTAGAAAGCCCTTGAGTGTCTCGAGCTATTTAGGAAAAAGTAAAACTGGTAGGCTTCGTGCCTTTTATGTTATATGGAGTTTGTAGAAAGTTATTTGTCGAAATCATAGCTATAAGATAACATAGTGACTCTACTACGCTAAACATTGGTGCGCCGCAGATGGCTATATTTTCGTAGAGAAGGTATGGATCTTTTGCGCATGTCACCCCCCAATTGACTGAGTTGCTACGTTGCCGTAATTTTTCTAGAAAATCAATTAATTTTTATTTATTTTTTTTATTTAAATCCGAACATAATTGGCAACGCCCAGCTATTGTCGCTGCACAGTATGTGCCCTGCGCCACTGTTGTTTTCATTTTTGGTGTCAATATCTCCGAGCGGTACTCACAAAGTTGTATAATTTGTACTTTCAATACTTTGATCTTTCACGAAATTACATCAAATGTGGCAAATATGAGGACCTAACAGGATCCTAAAGAAACAATTATGCCTGTATATTTTCATTTAACACACAGGAAAATATACTTACACATTCTCCTACATTTTTAGGTACACTTAAATAGCTACGAAGGATGTTTGCGTAATATTTATTAGTGTACAAAAATTACAGGTAATATAAAAAAGCAATTAAGCTACAAGTTTAATTTTTACTAGAGCAGGCATAAGAAATACCCCATGTCGATTACTGTCTATCACTTTTTCACTTTGATGTTTTACGTGCGATATTTAACATCGCAAAGTTATTTCATTGGAGGGTAGACCTATGAGTTTAAGACAACTAACGCTTTGCACCGATTTATAGAAAAAATAGCTTACATAAAAAAATATATGTAGAAATTACATCATATCTACAGGGCTTGAAGAACAAAAACGCCAAATTAATTACAGAATTATACTGACGCCGACGTCGGTGTTGCCGTAAAAATGCCACATCCAAACATCAACGATCTGTCAGCGGTCATAAGGTCTTATGGGTCCTACGTCAGAATTTGTCGTTAGAACCGCCACCTTCTCAAAAAAAATTTACATAGTTGCTTCATGAGCTTCTGTACTGTCAGCATAGGCAGGGCCTCTGTATGTCTAGTAACTATACTGTCTCTGTTGGCCGATAATCGTTGAAGCGTCGAAAGTCGCAATATTGGCATATTGCACCAAGTATTTTACCAAGTACTCGCCGAAAAGGCCGTGATCGAATCTAACGACGCACAGAAAATGGCGTGGTCAGCAGGAAAGACACGCCCATAGGGTCGTAAATAGGCTTCTGTACCCGCCCAAAAGGTTGTGACTGGACTTCTAAACTGACCAAATGAGCGTGAAATCCAAAGGTGGACTAAATGGAAAGGACAAGGACAAAATAGTCAGTTTCCGAAAATAAAAATTTAAACGCTCACAACTCGAAAATTTATTTCGAAAAAATCTTATTCTAGGAAAAATACGTTACTTTGGGAACACATTGGATTTTGTTTAAAAAAAGTCTCGATATATAAAAAGTCGATATACCTATATATACAAACAACAACCTAGGTAAAAATCTAGTATCACATTCGTTTGTTTCAGCAGCGTTGCGCTAAGCCTACCCTCCCCTGCGAAATGCGACCTCACATCGCTGTTTCCAGCGGTTGACTCTTACTCTTGCTCAGATTTGGTCGATTCTGGTCGAGCGCGCAGTCGTCGTCTCTCTTCGGCACGTAATCGAAATTAGTCTCCAATAGGGCCTCGCTCTTGGCCCTCCCTTTGCGTTGTCGCTGCTCCCCATCGAAGTCCGCAGACTTGGAGCGCTCCAGGTGATCCGGGTGGTGGGCCAAACCGACCGTATTAAAATCTGGGCTATACTTGAGATCTTGAAGACGTTCCGAATAGGTCGGGGAGTACTTCCTGGGCGGAGTCGGCGGTTTGGGAAGTTTTGCCTTCAGTTCACCCACCAGACCATTCGATCTAACGTCGTCTCGGAGAGGCAACGTGTCCGAATCGTAGTAGTACCCGTTGTCTTCTTGGACGAGGCTGTCGGCGCGCGAGGCTGTCCCGAACGTCGACGTATCCTTGAATCCTTCGTTCCTAAACGCCAGGTCGTACCGCGGAGGAGTGATTCCCGCGTATTGGTTGTCGAACCGCGACGGTGACTTTTGGTACTCTGGCAAGTACGCGAATGCGGACGGATTCGGATTGGTGGTGGTGGTGCCGGTAGTCTCGTACGAAGTACTATCGTCGATTGAGGAATTGTACTTCTCCATGCTATCGATCGAGCCGTTGCTGACGATCTTCTTGTAGTCGCTGTTTTTGGTCAGGGTGTCCGTCGACCGCGTACTCTGCGAAACAGATGTTAATGCTCCGGCGACCAAGGCGGTAGTACGCCGTACCATCTGAGACGCCTTTTTACGGTACCCGGGGTCGTTGAAAGAACCTGGTGGTAGACCGACGGAGCGGAGCGAGTGCAGGCTTTGACGGATGCTGTTGCGGCGCTCGAGACGTTGCGCCTTGCGGTACTTTGACTTGCTCCACCAGAACGCTATGACGATGGCTATGAGGACGAGAGCGACGGCTAAGCTGCCGAATACGGCGAGGGTGACGGTATCGTTCGCCAGAGGTAGGATCCGGATCGTCACTTTAGGATCTGAAACCACGAGAGTATGTTGCTGTGGGTTGTGCGATATCACTGGGTGAGAGTGCGTGCAAAAAAATAGCTTAGAAAAAAAAAACGCTGTACTTTCACCTGTTATGACAAAAACTCACCTATTTCACATATAAACGGGCTTCTCCGTTCGCAATCGTCCACCTCGACAGTCTGATACGCAAAGATGGTGCACTCGTTGATTCTGTCGATGTGCTGCACCCACACCCTGTCCGAGTACAAGTGCCACTGGTACTGTCTCCTCAAAAAGTCGTATAATGCCATGTAATTGATATTGCCCACGAGGTACGGCATAGACGCGTTGTCAGTCTGACAGAAAGATTTGGCTTCGCGGAAAGTCATAGGCGCGCCGACGTACATGTAGCAAGTTTCGCCCACCAGGTCCCAGCCGGGGGGACACTTGGAACCCAGTATGCTGCGGTTGTTCATGTAGAACGGCTCGGAGATAACTTCCAGCAAGGTCGGGTCGTCACTCTGGTCCTTGACACGTCCCCTTACCGCCAAAGTCGTGTTGAAACCCCAGTAGTTGTAAGCGGCGTCGATTTTCGTATCCCACAGTTGGAAAGTGCTGCGGGATTTGGGTTAAAGTTAGCCATACGAAGGGATAACGCGGCGTGAAAACCACCACCAACGCCGCCACCGCCACCACCGGCTTGTTATTTCGATACCGAGTGCCCTGACTTTAAAACATTTGGTGAACTTAATGAACTTTTTTTTATTGAACGAGGACCACCCAACAACCTTTCGGCAAAAACCCCTTAGTCACAAAAGGATACAGAAAAAAATTCTTACCTGTTGAATTCGAACCTGAGAGCGCGTCATGCAAAAATAAAAAAAATGTCGCATTAATAATCGGTCCTAATATTAAACGGCTTTGAAGGGAAAGAAAGAAGATAAACAGCTATGGGAAAACTTACAGCGAACGATTCACCGTGATGATCTCGTAATCGTTGTCAGGGTCGAAGAATATGTTGTCGACGTAGTGCTGTCCGGCAGTACCCGCCACAATGGTGGACTTGGTCTCCCTCTTGATCGCATAATTGCTGCAAGGAATAACCACTTATTACGTCACAAATCGACGGGAACGCCCTCTATCGCTCACTTGTAGAATCCATTATGGGTGGTCGTTTGGTAAACGTTTAGTCGTACCCTATCGAATCCGGATACCTCGAGGTTTTGTAACCCGACGTTCCTTTTCACGTAGTTGTAGGTGAAGTTCGACACGACGCGCTTGAGCACAATGTTGTTGTGATATTCCGCGCGGTTCCGCGTAAAATAGTTCCGGTAAACGGTCACCTCTTGGTACGGAGACGATTGGCGTCCCTCCACATACAGCGTCGGCAGATGGGAGTTGTTGACGAAGAGGTTGTTGTGGATCCAGCCTTGCATCGCGGTCGCTGATCCTCTGGAATCGGCCTTGATGTAGAGGCCACCCTGGTTACGCTCCACCAAGTTGCTCTGCGATACCGACTCGCGTTAACGACCGATTTGTCGTGTAAGCGGATAATCAGGTAGTGGGATTTAAGATTTTTGTATTTACGACTAGTTAATTTGGATTTATAAGATTTATCGTTAATGTACTTCGGATTTAAAGCGTTTACCGGATAATTATTGTTTTTCAGGGATGTAACGAATACGTAGCTCGGATTTATAGGCGTTACTCGGGATATACCGGGCACATGGTTCCTTATTTATAGGATTTACTAAGGACGTAGTACTAATTTATAGAAGAAGAATTTATAGAGAACGAATTTATAGAATTTACCGAAGATATAACGCGGATCAGATTTATGAGTATTACAGATAATGAAAACAGAATTTATATATTTTATAAGGGACGTACTGCAGACTTAAAGCGTTTACGCGAGATATACAGAGTACAGGATTTTTAGAACTTACCTGTTTTCCTAGAACGTAGTTTGGATTTATAAAATTTATCTATGATATAGTATGAATTTCTAAAATTTATTGAGGAAAATGTGTGAATTTATAGGACTTCATGGAGATGTAGTATGAATTACAGGAGTTACAGATACTGAGGTGCGGTATTTTAGGATTTATAAGGATTCACTGGAGTATACATCTTTTAAACTATGTTGACTTACCCTGAAAAACACTGTCTGCGTGTTCTGCACGTCTATTTCGATCGCCGATCTGCAGGTGCTGAAGTTGCCGTAGAGTTTCCGGCAGTTGTCCCTGAACTGGTTCCGCTCGATGGTGATGATGGGGTTGACCTCGCCGGCACCGACGTAGAGAAGCGCTCCCTGCGTGTTGTTGCTGATGACGCTGCTCGATATATTATGCTGCACGTCCCTGTCTAGTGCAAGAATCATTCGTTACAGCTAAGAACATCATAAGGGACAACTTATAATTTTTTTTTGTCTTCCATTGGGTTTTCCAGGTAGTAGCAATTTTTATCAAGTTCCTCCTTATACTTACTGAACGCTATAGCCGATATCGGTAACGTCACGATCTCGGCTACGAAGCCGTGATCGGACGAAGCTCCGTTGGCGAACAACTTGACGCTCAAACTCGGTAACCCCGACTTGAATAACTTCCTGTCGTTCCCTGAAGTCATGGTGACGACGTCGATCAGTTTAGACGACACGTTATAAATGTCGCCGTCGTGCAGAGACACGAAGTCCGGTATGCCGTGAGGCACCGACGAGTTGAACAAATTAAACTGCAAGAACCTCATTCCCACAGGTTTTACCGCGAACGCGCTTCTAAAAATCTTCACACAACTAACCGGATGGTTGTCGTACTTATAATATACAAGTAGTCGATCCTCGACCACGACTTCCTTTTGGGTGTCGCACACGTCGACGAATCCGAACAAATTGTAAGGCAAGTTCATCCCCCTCAGCGGCGTAAAACTCGACTCTTCCGATTCTCTACCCTCACCGAACAACGACACCACGTTGACGCCCACTCCTCGACACCCTACCACTTCGTTCCGTAATAGGTTCATCGTAGCCGAAGGTCCGACAACGTTAATACCGTGCGACGCCGATGCGATGACGTTCACGTACTGCACGACGGGACTCTTGACCACGCTCTGCACAGCCGGTGACTTTTCATTGTGCAAAATCCCTGCCCCTAGGACACGCACAAACTTCATGGTGGATTCTTGGGGGCGGGAATCGGTATGGGTACGTATGTCGTGGATGCGGTGCGAGTATGACCTTCGCTCAAAGTCGCCCTCGGCGAACCTGACTCCGCCCCAATAACCTTGAGCCGAACCGGGCAGTCTTCGGCTGCACTTGATGAAGACGAACCTGCCGTTCCAATGGCACCGGTGCCTATGGCCGAACTGCTGTCCGTTCAAGCGTACGGGACACTCTTCGTAGCGTCTCTCGGTACCTTTGCACTGTAACGGTTCCGGCCACGTCCATATGCGCGACAGCGAGTTGCTGTGAAAGTCTACGCGGACATCGAAGTCAAAGAACGCGTCCAATGGGTCAAAACCCAACTCGCGGCACACTACCTCCGCGTTTCTTTCGGTAAATCTGGAATCGCACATCGGAATCCATTGCAACGTGGTACGGTTGAAGTACTCCAGGAAACCTTCGTGGGGCACCTCGTCGGTGACGCTCATGCAATCGCGGTTCTCGCAAAGGCGGATATTCTCTTGTCCGACGAGCTCCAACTCGCGACGTTTCCTCCTCTTCAGCGTCTCGTCGGTAACGAGGTTGCCGGACTTCATAACGGGACGCATCACGATAGGTTTACCCTCGTAACCAACAGCGTTCAACGTTCCCAGAACAAGAAGGCCGACGTTTGGGGCGAATTCCATCACTACCCCCGGGTGTATGGTCAATGTGACGTTAGGCATGACAGTGACATCCGACTGAATGACGTAGGAGCGGTCCCTGGCCACGAGAGTTAGGTCTTGATACAACCGACCTTTGAGGTCGTTAACGTCGACGGAAGACGCCTCCGCGTTGCTGTACGTCGACGAATAACTTGCTAGGAAATCTTCTTCGAGGAGGTACGGTCTGAAGGAGGCTACCGCGTGGTCATTCCAGTCATCGAAGTCGAATATTCTGGACACAATCTCGGTCTCTGAAGTGGTACCCCACCAGTTCTCTTGTGCGTTGAGATAGTTGTCTACCCGAGCGGTCTTGATTCCGGCCATCAGGTCGTACCTCAAGGTGTTTCCGGCGAAAAGGTTCCTATTGACGTTGACCTTTTGGACGCCCTTGAAACCAAGCACGAAAGTGGGATCGTCCCGGACCTGGAGGACTCCGAACGATGAGCGGCTCATGATGAGTCGATTACCGCGTAACTCGTTGTAGACAAAAGAGGCGGGAACCTCCCCGAGGATTTCCGACTGACTGTCGCAGCCGAACTCGATGACGAATTGACAGTTGTTCTCCAGGAAACGGTTTCCGCGCACCAGGAGTTTCTTCTCCATACCTTTAACCGCCAACAATCCCGTTTCGCATTTATTTTCGCGGAATGCGTTCTTGGTCAAATTGACTACGGCGTAGTGGCCGTCGATTACGACGCCGAAGTTGCGGTTATTGACGAAAGTGTTGTTGTCCATGAACACCGAATGTGTGAAGTTTTCGTTGTACTTCCAGACGTAGGGAAGCGCGACTCGAAATCCGCCACCTTTGTTTCTCTCGACCGTGTTGTCTTGCATGACGTAGTGGAAGAGGTTATTGGACGACCTCATGTCGCGCGAGAACTGCACCACGCCCATTCCGTTGTCCGCTATCGTGGTTCTGTTAATCGTAAACGTTACCTCCGACAAGTTGCTAGGGTGCAAGTCCCAATGGGGCGAGTGGACGAACAGCGCTTCGCGGACGTTTCGCGAAATATCGCAGTCGGCGATTTTGATAGACTCGTTCGCGCTACGGAGGTAATGGTTGCCCAGCTCGTCGAGGTAGCGGTTGTAATATGATGCTCGCACTCCGACCATGTTGTTCCGGATGGTAGTGCCTTTTACGGTTAGAGTAGGCACCGGACCTTTGACTATACGATTGTAGACGTTCTGCACGGGAGCTCTTATCGTTGTAACTACCAGAACGACCCCGCCTACTGCGTCTAAACCACTCTCGTAGTCGATTATTACGCCATGAGCGCTGGAGGTGGTCGGAAAGACACCCAAGTCTCGCTTCAAGTCCCACGCTGCCGCATTGGGGTTTGGTGAGAACGCGTCGTTCACCACCAAGTGCTCCGTACTCCTGTTTTCCACAGGATTCAGTAGTTGCAGACCCAAAACCCACCCAGGCTCGCAAGTGATCCTGTAACTTCGTCGGATATCCGCCCCCTTCACTCCGGTCGTTACCAAGTACTTGGTTTGGCCTATGTTTATTTCTATAGTGTCGGCGTCAGATCTTTCCGGGACGGAAAAGGGATCGTAATGGGTCTCCTCGTCGTTCTTGATAAACCAACCGGCCAATTCGCGTTGCTGGAGGTTCGTGATCTGAGGATTGTGGTCGATGCCGACAAAGTTGTTTTCGACTCGGTTGTTATGCAGCGTCAGCCCCAACTGTTTGATGCTGACACCGGCGCCCTTGTTGTTGAAAAATTCTGAGTTCTTAACGAAGTTTACCGAATCGTCAGTATATATGTTCGAGTACGTCACGCCCAAACCGTGATAGAAGTTGTTCGCGACGCGGACGTTCTCCAAGTTTTGCCGAGCAAAGTCCAGCTGCAGGGCGGGTTTGAACGTGTTCGTCGCGTAGTCTAGCAACCCGGCCTGCTCAACGGTGACGAACTGCAAGTCGGAACGTTCGGCGAGGGCGCCAAAACGAAGTCCTGCCCACGAACTCTTGTAGCACCTCAGTCCGACGTCGTTCTCGTGGTCGCAAGAATTTGAAAAGTCCTCCGACGTTTCGGATCGACACCGCGTGATATCCAAGTCGAATTTCGTACAACGAACGTTCGAAAGGATCACCGGCTCAGCAGTACCGGCCGAAGGAACTTCGCTCCTCTCCAAATACCAATCGTCCGGGTTCAACACGTAGCCCAACTGCTGACAGACCAACGCTGCGTTCTCCATAGTCCAACCGTAATTGCAAACAGTTCCCCATTGGTTGTTCACTTTCACTTGGAGTCGGCCTTCTGTTTCGGCCACGCCTCCTAGTAATCGCACAGGAATCTTTGGTTCTATCTCTACGATTTCGGTCTCCGCATCGTATTGCCCGTCTTCCGCCGCGTATGTGACATTTTCGAATCTGACTTCCTCCTTCAGGGTGAACTTTATGCTATCCGGTTGGATGCCCCGCGCTTCCAACTTACCGCCCACCATCATCCCGATGGAAGGAGGGAAACGTAACAACACTCCTGGCTCAATCGTCAACTTGCCACCCGGTCTAATGGTAATGTCTCTCTCGACCACGTACTCTCCCTTGGAAAGATATTCCTCGCCTTCGATTTCGCCACCGACGCGATCGGAGTTCGAGGCGAGGAATTTGGGCACGTAGAGCTGATAAGGGTTGGTCTTGGTGGTGAGGGGGTTGGAATTGTGCAGCAAGAATGGTATGAAACTGATCTTGGCCAGGTTATACCTGTCGTTACGATGAAAAATCCGATGGAACACGTACTGATCGTTGGCAAACCCGAGCCAGTTGTAAGTGGCGTTGATAATTTTGCTCTGGTCCTCCAGGTGGCTCCCGATCTCGTACCTGGAGTCAGGATTCTCGATTATGTTGCGAAAAATGTCGACGTTACTAGACCCGACCACCACAGGCGCTGCCATCCTACTCCTCGTGTTTAGTTTCGACACTGACCCGTCCTCTGGCTGGAACGGTTCCGTAATTTTGTTGTTTTTCACGAAATTCCTGGTGAAGAGTAAACGTTGCCTGTCAGAGTACGGCGAGAGCGCCAAATTTGCTACGAACACCCCCGTATTGTTGAGGAAATAGTTTTGCTGCACCGCGACGTCGGCACCGAGCGCGTTAAACTCCTCCAAGGGTTCGTTCTTGATTAACAACGCTCCGTAAGTACCCTGTCTGAAATGGTTGTATTCGATGTTCGCCTTCAGGTTGATCGCAGGGTATAGTTTCAACGAGACTTTTTCGTTGCCGATGAAACGATTATGACCGATCTGGAGGTGAGTGGGTGGCATCGCGTCTTCGCTCCGCTTCCAACAAGCCAATACTTCGAGCGCGTCGCCGAGACAATTCGTGAACGAGTTACCGGTGAAGTTAAACATTGCTTCCCCACAATAGTTGCCGTGGAGAATGCCCACGTCCAGGTTCTTGTACACCTCAGTGTACTGCACCACGGTGGTCTGATTCATGTAGATATACTCGGTCTCGCGAGTATCGTTGAGCCACACGGCCACTCCGTAACCTCTATTGGAACTTATCGAAGACCTGGACACGTTCCTCGAGCCTCCTGTGTAGGTCACATTGATACCGTCGCCGTCGTTGAACGACACTCTGCTCTCGGTAACGTTCACCTCGCCCGCGCCGCTGGTCACGTGAATACCGGCGACGTGACCGTTCTTCGACACCGAGCTTCGATGCACGTGGATCTGAGACCGTAGGTTATCTATAGCTACGCCCCTGCCCCGATTCTCGGACACGTCGCACTCAGTGAGGTTGAGATCGTAAGTTTTGGCCAGACCCGACGTGATCCTGAAGAAAATGACGACGCTAGTGCCTGGTCTGGCGTGAAATTTTACGTAGATTTGATTTGCTGTGGTCGTGATGGACTGAGGTCGCGTGTTATTCCTCACGGCGAACTCCTTTAGGGGTCTGTTGTTAAAGTCTGAACCGTCGTATACCTCCAAGTGGGCGGACTCGTTTACAGCGGTCACGGCTCGGACAAAGTCCAAAGTGAGCACATGACCTTGCCGAGTGCTAAAGACTTTATCACACCGCTGCTCTTTGAGCATGAACAGGCTTTGTTCGGCGTAGAGCTTGATGGGGTACACTTGGCTGTTGGAGACGGCCTCCAGGCAAAAATCGCCGTAGCCGAATTTATCCTGACGTTCTTCGGGCCGCTCCTCTGCCCTCACGTACTTTACGCCGTCGCCACCGTTATCGCTGATCGCGCAACCTTTTACGAGTGCCATACCGTAACTCGAATTGATGAAGAGCCCGTGTCCTCGGTTACTTCTCAACGTGCAATTGTTCAGGACGATAGGCGCCAGGGGATCGGTAATGTTGACGCCGTTATAGGCGGAACCTACGACCTCCAGGTGGTCGATGGAGGGGGGTACACCTTCGACGTGTAACGCGCTGGTGGCGTTCTGATCTCTACCCACGCCCGCGTAGTAAATGTTGACGTAGCGGAGGGAGGAAAGGGACGCGGGCATGTACAGGGTGTTTTGGAGGCCGAGTCTGTTCTCGTTGAGGGCTTGTTCGAAACGGATGCCGCGCCAAAACTTCAGAGGCGTATCGTGATGGGGTAGGCACTCGAGACCCAGATCGGGGTGGTAGTCGCACACCCCCGAGCCCATTTGATGGGAGGGCCAGTCGCAATCGAGAAGTGTGGACTCGGTGCCCGCGCATTTAGGCTCTTCGAATAAAAGGCGTGACTTTACAGGCATCTGACGGTCGTACCAGCCAGAAAAAGTACCGCCTTGGAAGCCGAGCTGGCGGCAAGCTGTTTCCATGTCCGCGGAGGTCCAGCTGAAAGTTTGAGTTAGAAAAGTAGTGAGACCGCCGATCGAGAGAAAATAAGAGTCGACGCGTCATTCTGACGGCAGTTATAATGACGTAACCTCAATTTCTCGAAACCTAGAAAACGGTAGGCTATCATATATGACGCTCAATCTGTCCTCTTATATGAAATTATATGGAATCAACAATCGGAATTGACAAAATTAGATAGTATCTATTACTATTACTAGTTAAAGTTCTAACTTTATTAAACTAGAAATAAAGATAATTTCTTGGTAGCTGTTTAATAAGCTAAACCTTCATACAAACATTACACCTAATAAAAAATACCTATACAAAAAACATAATTAGCAATAGGTGCATTGTTAATATTTTTGATTAGAGTTACCGATTTTTATAATATCCGCACTTTTTTTTAATTTAGGAAATTCTAGAAAAGATTGAGAAAAATTATGCTAAAAAATTTAATAATTTTTGAGCTATTTTTGAAAATAAAGTTTTCTCTTTGCGTTATCGTCAGTGTTATCGGTTTGAAAATAATCAGTAATGAAATTGAACATTGAAATTAATATATATTTGTTCGTCGAGAAGCGAGAGGTTTGCTTAAGGGATCGGGAGCCGGAAGGTTTAGTAAAAAAGTTACATGTTTAGGGAAAGTTAGGAGCATGTACCGAAGGTTCTCTTCCCTACAAAAATATCATAGTCGCTTGAAGTTATCAATTTTTACCGTCCTTACTGTCGCTATATTATCTAATAGTTGTATCGTTTTGGTGAGTTGATAAGGTCACCAGAAAAAATCGCGGACGACTAAAGCACTGGTTGTCAACCGCGAATTCAACTGGAATGATACTGTGAGTTGTTTGCTAAATTTCTGTCAATCGTGGTCTAAATTGGGTCTGGTCTTCGATATATCGAGGATCATTTCTCGCTTTCTCTCCTACGATACGCGGGTACCGTTACCTTGGCGTCCAGTGTGATGCAACAGATATTTATAACGCAATTCGCTCTTGCCTTTTGTTGTGTTGAACGCACCCATTAAACGTCCGGCGTTATGTTTTTGCGCCAGACGTTGCGAGAGAAAACGCAACAATAGCACGCCGACGTCAAATAAACAAGCATCAAAATTGCCATCTAATGAATGCAACATTCGGAAATATTTCGTATTTGAAATAAAATAAAAAAAAATGGTAGTTACCAAGTTGTTATGTGGTCTTTGGTAGACATTAAATTCCACTGAAAAATGTATATATGGATGGGGAGAACGCGATATATGCATTCCCGTCGTGGCCGTGAAATGTAACATCCAAACATCATTATGGGTGAATGTATTGGAGCGAAATATGAAAAATATATTCCTTGTTAGTTTTAGTAGCCGCTTATTATAATGAGGTGACGCACACCTTTTCCTCTAGAAAAGAACTTGCCAGAACGTGAGTGAGAAGTAGCTTCCATGTTTTTTTTTTATTCAAGAAATTCTTCTAAGTATCAAACTCTATGTGTTCCGCTGTAATTTCAATATTATGATCTATTTTAAAATGTATTAGAAGCTTATCTTTTGGAGCTTAAAACTGAGAAATAGAGCAACGATGAGCAAAAGAAGTAACTATTTCCTTGAAAGGACTACTTGACAAAGTGTTGACAGAAGACGGGTGATATGTTTTTTGATGGTATGCAAAGTCTTTCAGTATATTAAAATTCTTATTACTGTTTACACTGACAATACTTTTAGCTTTGGCCTTTCTTACCTGGATGAAACTTTTTTGCATGTTTTCTCAAATTCAAACGAGCATTTAACGCTATCCATTTTCAATAAATCAAACACAAATAAAACGAAAACGCCAGAAATCACAGCAATGCAAGGAATTACAGTCAAAAGGGTCAAAATCCGAACTAAAATCGTAAGTATCAAAAAATATCAAATTATAACAATGGTCAACCTTCAAAACAATCTTGACATAACAAACAAGTCTGCCCGCCAAAACTTTCGGTTAGTTTCGTTTCAGTTTGTTACAGGCTGCCAATATTGGGAATGAATATATAGCGTTCTCCCCATCCGCTAGTCCGAATTCAGTTAACCTAACATTTTGCTACAGTTTCGTTGTGGCTTTCTGAAATTTGCAAGGAAGTTTAAGGCATAAAAATGGTATTTCTAAAATGTAAACATCGTAATTTATACCTATGACAGTCCTTGCGAACTTTCTCTAACAAGGTCGTGAATTAAAAATGAGCTGAAGAAGGAATAGCGAAATAGCAAAATGTTTAAAATCAGATAGTCAGCAGCGGTTTTATAAAACATTTTAAGTGTCTGTGGTTTTGGTGGAAAAATAGTGATGTGGTCAGTTTCTGCTATATACTACGTTTGACTAGACGTATGGGTACGTAAATAGTGTGGAGGAACAAAACTATGTTGACTGAGTTGCGGATTACCCTAGCCCAAGTAAAATTACGTACATTTGTTACGTCTATAGTCTCTTTTCAAAATCGAACTTACTTTTTCGAATTTGTGCACACGCTCCGCCATTTTCCGTTCACCCTCAGCTGCACCCTGCCTGACAATATGGTCGGACCGTCGACGAGCCGAATGTCCGGCAGGTTGGAACTCCTCGCCGATTCATCTTTCGTCGTCAAGGTGATGCGTTCGTCTTCCGTGCCCTGCAAAAGCCATTCTACGTAGAGGTTGTCTTTTGTCTCGTACTCGGTATACTTTTACTTTTATTACATTAATATCTCGCCTTGGATAAAACACAATATTGAAGTTAGAAGGTAATACAAATATTGATGGACAACAACTATCTAAGTGCGTCATAAAAAACAGCCCCGAGAAAAATCCTTGCATCCTTCGTACATTAACCCCTCGCAGTACAGCAATTATTGTTTTCTACTATCCGTGTTTCGCCCACAACTGTTAAAGGACCTTTGACTTTTGACTGAGCGGCAAATATTATTGAATCACATTCTTAATGGTATTAATTGCGGTCTCTTTAGTCGTTTATTTAATTATAGCGGTCACGCTATGAACAGAACTTTTGAATTTTCCTTATTACCAATTAAGGATACATAAATTGGATAATGCCGTCTTAAGAAAACGTCACCAGTTCGAAAGTGTGACGTCTGTATGTATACAGGGTGTCCCGAAATTAGAGGTCAGTATTTTAACCACTTTTCTGTGACCCAAAATAAGTTCATATAAACTAGGGTCCAAAACGTCTTAGTATTTAACATACAGGGTGTTAAATTTGAAGAGGATGATGGCGATTTTTGGTAAATATTTTCGAAACACGTAAATATTTTTAAATAAAATTTGGTACAGTTGCTAAACTACTTAGACTCTATTTAACGAGCTGAGACTTAGTATTGGATTGTCTTCAGAGGTGAGTAACACAGCGGAGGCGTGGGAAAAAATTTGCCCCAAATTTTTTGCTTGCCGGATTTTCGTAATTTGGACTGCAGAATTTGAAAATCTGAAGTTTTCTACGTAAATAAGGTACCCTTTTCGCACCTCGCTAGAACATACCGTTTTCGAGAAAAATGCTTTTGAAAATTCAATTACAATTTTTTTTAATTTTAATGTCTACAATCGAGGTGCATGTAATAATCACTATGTCCTGGATGTTAATGACGTATTTCGTTTGTTTGTGTTGCTGGGTAAATAAAAATTAAATGTCAATTATTCGACAGCTTACAATTCTGTTCATTGTTGGTAAAAAATAGTTTTTAATTGGATTGTTCTTATAAACGCCTGTGTGTATTAATAATTAATTATTATTAATTCGACGATCAGGTACTCGACGATTAGGAAACCTTCTACGATGCTCTTGTACCGCCTCCCCAGCTCTGCCAACTCCATCAGATTTAGATAGCTTATTTTTCATCAACAATCAACCTTCTTTCAAATTTAAAGTTTATAATTTTTGCAAGAATAATTAGCTTTGCAGTTGATAGTTTGATTTGTCTTTCGTTAATAAAAGGATTTATAAGAACAATTCAAGTAAAAACTATTTTTTACAAACAATGAACAATAATTAACAAAATTGAAAGCTGTCGAATAATTGATATTTATTGTTTATTTACTCAGCAACACAAACAAATGAAACTAATGATTATCTGCACCTTGATTGTAAACATGAAACTAAAACAAAAAATGTAATTAAATTTTCAAAAGCATTTTTCTCGAAAAATTCGACAAACAAAAAATTTGGGGCAAATTTTTCCCACGCCTCCGCTGCGTTACTCACCTCTGAATATATATACCAAGTTCTAGTTCGTTAAATAGAGCCTAAAAAGTTTAGTAACTGACCAAATAATATTTAAACAATTTATATGTTTCGAAAATATTTACAAAAAATCGCCATCACCTCTTCAAATTTAACCCCCTGTATGTTAAAAACTAAGACGTTTTGGTCCATAGTTTATATGAACTTTTATCCTTATTTTGAGTCACAAAATATGTGGCTAAAATATTAACGTCTAATTTCGGGACACCCTGTATAGCGTGTCCTAGCGATATAAGGAAAACATTTGTTTCTACTCTCGTCTGTAAAATACCTAATTACCCGATCGATCTAGCCTGCGGGAAGCGTCATTTTACCACGTCCGTATGCTTTCCCACGGATCCGAGCCCCTTCGGACATTTCCGGGATATTATAGCGCGGGTTTGGGAGCAATCGGATGTTTTCGGAGATATTTCCCTCGCTTTGAATTTTGACATTCGGCAATTCTGACGGTCATGTCGGTGATAGTACCCAAAACCTAACGGTCGTAGAAATAGTATAGTACGCAACACGTTCGGCAAACTTTTTAAGTCACTCGTTTATTAAACACTCGCTCCGCTCGTGTCAAATAAACTCGTGAGTCGAATGCCGTTTACCGCACTTGTTGCATAATACATATAATTGTACCACATCTTAATAACACTATGTATGTGCTTTTACAAAAATAAATAAATAAATAAAAATATATATATAAATACATTGCCGATGACGCAAAAGAACGAAAGACGTAGAAAGAAAGTAACACTTTTATTTTATCTCAAACGCTACTGGAGGCGAAAAACAAAAAGTGTCGAATCACAAACGGGAGGTGATGGGGTCTCATTGTAGTTTCTACAGCAGTTGTCAAAATACAATTTGAAGCGTTATTAACAAATTGCCGAACGCGTCGTCCCCCGAACGATTCCCTAAAACCCCCGCTAATTTCATTTCGAGACAAATGTTTAAAAGGAAATATTTCAAAAAGTAAATATGTTGGGCGTATACAACCTCATATAAAATTGCCTTAATTTTTAATGCTAAATATGACAGGATTATAAAAATAGGTAATTTCCATTAAAAAAAAAAGTTTTTTGGCAATTTTTCTTAATCTTATTTTTCGCGTACCCTGTATTTTAACGTATCGAAATTTATTATGAAATCCGAGTCCTTTGTCTACAACAAAACTTACTCCAGTGAAACAATAAATCCTTCCCAATGAAAAAATTGGCAGCTATTTTAAGACTTAGGTAGAGGACATTATACACAAAATATGTCTAGAATTTTGTACACAATTCAAAAATGAAGTTCCATTAAAATAAGAAAGTTGATAATGGCCGACGAAAAATGAAACACCCTATATATACATCACTAAAATAAATTGAATGTTTGTAATACCCCAATTAACTTTTGTAATTCACTTTTGGCTCCATTCCCTATAGTTTCTGAGATAAGGTAGTGTTCCCACCCTATACATTTAAAACAATGACTTTCGTTCACTGATAAGGAAGAAATTATTACAGGCATTTGATCTAAGAATTGTTTTCTCAAAGCTAAACGCGACGACGAAGAAAACTATAACTCGTTCCGTCTCTCAACACGACACTCTCAACGGCCGTTTGTCGTAGAAAAATGGCGGCCGATTCGGATGGTACCGTACTTCTTAACGTGATGGTACCGATCAGCGGGTCAACGGCATCTGGAAGCAACGCCGTTAGAAGGTACCTCGTTCGTGTTTAAACGGTTTGATTGTGGACTATCATGGCGGACTGAAAAATTCAGAGATACACGTCCATGGAAAAAGTTGCAAGAAATTTTTACAACTTGAGAGGTTCTGATATTATAGGGAATGAATTCGTTCATCTAGAAATTTTCTTTAGCGAATATTTTTCAATGTAGACAGTGTGGCCGTTTAAGCCGTTTCCATTTACCACACTACGGCTACCTAATTAGAACCAACCTCAAAATTGTGTCTCCAATTTGTGCGAAAACATTTTTTTACTTGCCAGTACCCTAAAATGAAAACTGAGATGGGATTTTTTCAGGATTATAACAATAATAATAATAATAGCACTTTATTTCCAACAAGTAACATGACCCAATTACAGGAAATACTAAATATAAATCATCCAATATATATACCAGGGAACGTAGCAGCTAATCTTAAATCTACTAATCTTATAATTAAAAAAAGGAGAGCGAAAGTACGAGAAAGAACAGGATAAGACTTATCGGTACGGATAATCCGACGCCAATCGAAGTTGCCGAAGTATGGTCTGTAGACCATCATAATATAAATCGCAGTACGATGATAGTTTGTTGAAGGTAGCAGACATATTGTAAATAGGGTTTTGAAAATGAATATTGGACCTGGGTAACTGCGGTAATTCCACCCGCGGCACATGAAAGGGTAATTGTTCCAGAAGAAACGGACAATCGACTCCGTAATGAACCAACTTATAGAGAAATGAAACAAATTGCAAGTCTCTGCGCAAGCTCAGAGGCGGTATAGCAAACCTTCCTAGCAGAAGATCATGATCAACTCCCCTCTCAGGATAGGAACCGTCCTCCCTGGACATTAGATACTTTAGTAACCTTCTCTGCACACTCTCAAAGGACTGAGTGTGGCAGTTATAAATTGGTGAACATATCAGCGAGCCGTAGTCAAGCTTGGACCTAACGTAACAGTTAAATAACAATTTAACAGTAGCTCAACTACAAAAATACCTGCAACTTCGTATTACGAATTATTAAAACTGTACAGCGAGATCATTGAATCGCTTAGCAGAGAAGCGTTTTTTGAGAGTCTGATTCTGTTGAGGGACCCATAATTGAATGTCAATGATGAGGATAAGTATTCCACAAAGAACATTCATTGCCGTATGTGAAAAATACCATTAGAACATTGACGCCTTAACCAATTTTATTTAATAAATTCTCTAGCAATTTCTTTTGATGATATTGCGTTGGTTTATGTATTTGTTCAACTTACAGGCTGATCACCCAATAACAAGTTGCAATTAACTTAATACACTAACTTAAAATCTAGGTTAAAAAAAAGTACCACTACATACATACGAGATGCCAAGAAAGTTGCTTCTTCCGAAAGAAACAAAGTTAAAATAAGTGTATAACATTGGCAACATTCAGAAATAAATTTTGTAATAATTTTGCGAACAACACTTTTGAATTACTAAGGATATCTACTTTATTTTGATTTTTGAGCCGAATGAGCATTCGTTCGGGCGATTTGTTGTTTTTCGAAGACGCGTTCGAATTTAGTGAGAATCATGGGCAAAAAATTGTGTTAAAAATACATATTGACATGATAATGACAATTATATTAAACTTTTTACAAGTAACATTCGGTTTTCAACATTTACTAAAACAATGTTGTTATACAAAAAAAATACTGGTGTTATAATTATTTAAGTGAATATAACTTTTAAAAGGTGTCAAATAAAGTCAAACCTACCTTGTCCCGTTCAAACATTCTTTTAAACTTTTGCTTTTTCTCGCCGATAAAAACCCTTTAGACTATTTTTTTTTTAATCTCGCAGACGTTCCTGTTCAGTTCTTCAGCAATTTCCCTCCAAGCATCTTCTTTTTCAATTTTAAACTTAAAAACCATAAAATGGTCCTTTTCTCAAATTCTTTGATTAATTGTAAACACATGTCTTGCAAAAAATCCATCTCGAAGGGGACCGTTTGGTTTGTGGTGTGTGTTTATATGCTTACCAAAAACCCGTCCGGATTGAGCACGAATTTCTTTTGATGGACCGACAACTCTCCGATCGGCTACGTTCGTTTGCTCAGATGTGTACGCGGCTGAAGAAGTAACCATTGCTAGCTGGTAATTCGTTGTAGGTGTATTTTTCACGGTAAAGGTACTGTCGTTTGGGATACTTAGATAACCGAACGCAATGTTGCATTGTCAAAGGTTAGGTTATTAATGATTTTAAAAAGACATAGTAACTGAGTTATAACCCTTCTGTTCTGCATTGTTAACATTTTATAACGTTATAAGCTGTTGACATAAGTATCAGCTTCTCTTTTTAAAATGTAGTTTGGCAAAGTTAAATAATTTCTTTTACTAGGCTATGATAAATAATTTTCAGAGTTTTTTCCGATTTGATTTTTTTGGATTTCTAATTAAGAATCCAAGATTTCTATATGCCAGTCTAACTATTATTAAAATATGTTCATTGAACGTTAATTTCGTAACAAATGTAACGTCAAGGTCATATTTTGTAGTAACTGATTTAATGGTCACTTTATTCAATTTATATCCAAAGAAAGGTGGATTTTTTACATAAGTAAAAGACACAGAGTTATACTAAACACTAAAATCTAACAAATTATCTTTAATATGTAATTCACCTCTTCTTGCTTCAACCTACAATCATTTTCGTTCACTATCTTCCTGTATATGCTCATGTCTTCAGCATATAGCAAAATATTTGAATGCTTAATACTTTGTTGTAGGTCATTTATCAATCATAGAAATAAGACTATACCACTAGTCGATATTGTATAATGCAATATACCTTTCTCATTATTGGTGCAATTGGGAACCTTGACCTTTACAATGAAGACAAACAAAACACACACACAAGCGCAGGTCGCAATAAATAAAAAAGGGCCTACCGCACTACCACCGACCCAGCCAACCTTTTATTCAATTGATAATTAAGGCTTAAGGAAGAAAATACATGGTTGGACAAATAACATATTTTTGTCTTTTTAATTTCAATATCCAAACAACAAAATGAACTCTGTCCTAAATATTTTGGTTTAATTTTGTTAACTCCCAGTTTGTTCGATTTTCCCGACGGCAATCAATAAGTAGCGTTACTACTGAAAATAGGCTGTAGATTAAAAGTTGGTAAAGCGAAGATACCATCCGATTCTCAATGTTAGATCTGTTCTCTGTTTGTCCTGATCTATTTTTGTTTTCTTCTTTTTTTTTTTTCAAGAACTATAAATTTTATTAGCTTATTAGGCGGGAAGGAAGTGGGAACAGTTCTCCCTCGCTTTTCTTCTTAAATGACACTTTTAATTTATACGAATCACGCAGGCGAACGCATCTGCAGGAAGTATAGCAAGCGCATGCGTCAACGAAAATACATACCTGAACGTACCTAATTGGTGTTTTGGCGGCGCGTAACTTTCTTTGCGTTTCCGGTAAAAAATCTTTTACAGTCGGCGGGCTATTCGCGCTCGAACGCTCCGTTAAAAAATACGTTAACAGAGCGAGAAAGTCAACATTTCGTAAAATAAATCCACCCATAGGGCGTCCCAAACAATTATGTTTTATAACGACTGGGGAGAGCTTTGGTTTCAGCGTATGCAACGAGAAATTTTTTACTTAACGAAAACGACCAACAGTTCTGTCAAATGTGACGCGACCAGTCGGCGCTGGTCGTTTCACCGCTCGTTGTATCGTAAATCACTTCAGCTACTTGTCTTTACAAACCCACGTGCCAGCAGGGAAAAATAAACTCGTAAAGTCGATAATGAGTTGTTACAAAACTATGACTCATATTTCGAGAATTCCTCCGTGAATTCCTAACCGATCATATTCGTCATGAATTTCAAAGAACAGTTAGACCGCGCGATTGTGATAACACGCTTATGGAAATTTATATTTTATTCATCGATCCGACAGAAACGCCGATAACCCAATTAACTTATTGGACACATTTCGTTATCACCAGCAACATTTAAACTATTTTTTTAAATACACAAGTACCTACCTAATAGAAGATCCGTTCGTAACGCCTTAATTTCTAAGTGGTACTTACTTAAAACAGTAAAGAATACGGAAGCAATCGTTCTTTATTTTTAAATTTAAATCATATAAAGAAATGGGTCGTCATTCTCTGAGTGAAAACATTGACTATAGCCGTCGCGCCTCATTGACCCTTCGCCTTTACCTACCTGGACAAAGGACTTGGGCCCTTTTACTCGCGACAGGTCTCAAGGTCGCACTTACAATCGGTACCTGTTCGCTCGGTTCTTATCTTATAACCAAAAAACAGCACGCGCGCCGCGATGTTTATGTTTATTTTAGCGCACGGAATTTCGATAACCTCATTAAATTGAGCAATTCGGTGATTTCCGAATGTGGGTTACGCGGCTAACCGGTTGTTCACGAAAAAGAATGTACTAACCAGAGCGTTTAAAATCCCTCTGACGGTAATGCCGACTTGAGGCTCGACCTTGATTGTCACCCCTGGCTCGATGTGCACTTCGGCCGTCCTTTCGACAATGAGATCGTCGCGCAGCCAATACGGGCTGCCGTTTTTCGTAAAAACCACCCTCTCGTCGATCACCGTACCGCCAGAATGTTCGGTGAAGCTTGCGTCCTGCTCACATTTAACCGCGCACAACAATACGACGCACAAAATACGGGCAAACGTCCGTCTCGTTTCGTACATTTTGACCCGCGATCTTGCATTTAAAAACCCCCTATACACCACACAACGCTGCTGCTGCACGCTAGCATCAACTACGGTACGTCATTGTTCTGCCAACGGTTTCGCGACCGTTTCGGGCGCGCTTACAATTTCACGTACTTTGAGCCGCGCTTGGAAGCTTTCCCGACGATTCCCGCACCTCGGACAGCACCGCAAGGGGTTTTGAACGGTCTACTTCGGGCGCGGTCGATTTTTTTCCCAACGAAAACGCAACGTCTGAAACCTACCTCCCCCACTCACCTGCGCCCACAGATCTTGTCAAACAGGTGGGGTCGTACTTGCGTTCACCGCTAGAGCGCAACACTGTACAAATTCGCGCGGGGTATTGTTTGTATTGTCCGTGATTTGAACGGCAAAGATGGGTTTACCGGAGGTTGCTATAAAACGAATGGCGGACAATTATTACGCTAATGAGATATCCGCGAGATGCATTAGTCACCGGAGAGACTTTTATATCGCAATGACGCGTTTGTTTGTCGTGGTCGTAGTTATCTCAGTGTTTATTTATTAGAGGGGATCAGGTGCGGCGAGAGACTTTATCGCTCGCGACGTTAATTAGCTGCGATATTGCTAACTTTTTATATCGAACGGCCAAAAATTTATGCAACGTTATCACGACTGCCGATAAAAAAGCAGATATTTTTGTAATATCAATTTATTTCAATTTTTACGGTTGAACCAGAAGGTTCGCAACGAAAAACAATGAAAAAAACGTCGACTCAAACAGGAAAAAGCGACAGCTTTAGACATTTACTCGTCTATAATATAATTCATGTGACTAGACGAACTATGAAGGCACTATAAACTCCTCCCTACCATATGCGACGATTTCAAAACGTCGACACCAGGGATTCGTTTCCGTTAAACTGCGGGTTGTAATTCCTGTCGATCAATTCCAACTTGAGGAACAGCTTAATACTGAAAACAACGCCGATGACTTGGACGACGCTGACCCCGAGACATACGGCGCACATTATCCAGAGGCTAAACTTCAACGCGTACGCCACCTTCTCCTCGCAACCCTGAAAAAGAAAAAATCCAAGGATTTTTCGTATCGCGTGGCAACGTCACGCTTACCGCGCGAAATATATTCGACGGGTGATCGCGAACGCCGCAATCCGGCAACACCGTTTTGCAACACGAATCGGGAACTTTGTTCGGCAGCGATGCGTTTTCCAACCACTCGCTGTACTTCCAGTCGGAAAATGTCTGGGCGCCGCAACATTTTAATTCTTGGTGGACAATATCGATCGACCTGGTTTTGTCTCGAGCCAAATTGTAGTCGTTAAGTAACGACGAGTTTAGCCGAACACGCACGTCCTCTTCGATGCTGTGCTGATAGACGTACGCCAGCATCGCAACGAGAGATTCCATCAAAAACACGAACACCAGGATTAAGATAAACTGGAAACAGACTGGGCTGACACGCGATCAGAAATGACGAGATTCTAGCGGCAATATCAAGCAGCGGTTCCACAAATAATAGCCTGTAATGTATGAAATGAGAATAAAAAACGTCTTCGTTCACCGCGTTTAAAATGCCACAAGTTATTGCCGAAGAATCAGGGTTACCAACAGACAAAATACTGATCGAAACTTTTCGAGCAATAAATGCTACTACGTTTGGTTGATGGAAATATTTAGTCCGCAAGCGTATACCCGCTAGAATCTCGCATAGAGATGAAGGTGTTAGTTCCCATACACAAAATATCAGCTTCGTCCTATTCTTCGGTATCGCACAGCATCCAAACGTGAACGCGCATATGACTAGGCAACCCGTAATTATAAACAAATAGAGCACCGCCGCGTACGAATGCATATCCGACGCGTTGAAGTAGTGGTAAGTCGTCAGGAACTTCCACACGCCGACCGAACATATCCCCAAGCCAGTCACCTGAAACAGACCAATTTGGCAACTATGCACGAGCTGATTAATACGGACAATCGGCTTTCGGCACCGGTCCCTGTAATGTTTATCAGCACGTGCGTTTCAACGCCACTGTAGTTTCGCCAGTGCCTAAATTTGCAAATGAATTAGCAACCCGAGTTCAAAAACCAATAAGGCTTTAACACACACACAGCGCGTTATAACGCCACGCCCATGGAACGCCCCCAACGCGGTGATCAGATATATTAACTACATCACACACGCAGTTATTTGAGCGGGCGATCCAGTACTGTGTTGATACAGCAATCATGAGGAAGTTTTGCTTCTTCATGCTTTAGTTGAGAGTTATATAAGAAAAGGCGGTATAGAAGTTATCCAGTAAATCAAAGGTGGGAAGAACTGGGCGAACACCATCGTCAATGCAGAGAGCTGCGCTCTCATGAAGATGTTTTTTTTGTTACTTCCCGATGTCAAGACAAAATAATAAAATAATGTAGTCAGGTTTTGAGAAAGAAAGTTTATTTAGGGTATGGGTAAGGTATTCGTACTTCTTATTCACAGTTCTATGACAACCTCGGCCGTTCACCTTCTTCAATACATTTGTACACATGTGAGAGGTTTCGGATAGGTAATCGTAATTTCTCACCTGTACGATGTGCTTTTCAGTTTTTTCCCCATCGTTTTGAAAAAGAGTCACTGAGACGGCGGTAGCGCGCTCTACTTCTGTAATTTTATACAACCCGCAAAGCTAACGTCGCGTTCCGAAATATAGCGCTGAGTGATAACGCCAGGTGTGTGACAAGGATGGTGCAATACAACGGTAACGCAACGGAACAGGAAAGCCGAACGTCGCGTAATAACGCGTTCAGTGTGTTTGAGCCTTTAACCTGTGTGATAGACCCTAAATGCGCAATGAAAAAACGAACACTTACCAAAAAAACGAACTGATAGGCGTAGAGGATCGCCTTGATGACGGAAATCCTACAACATCCGTCGCCGGAAGCCATGGTGTTGGTGGGCGTTTAATTCAGACCATTTTTATACGCGCAAGATTAATATCCTTGACTACAGGGACAATTCTAAAATTGCAAGGCGGTTACGGCGCGTCAAGTGCACAAAACCAAGCCGACCCGGATAAATCGAAAGCAGTAAGTCAATTTGTGATTCGATTTTTATTTTTAGGCGATTTTGTTTATGTTGTAGGCGAGTGAGTACGCGTGGGAGGCCGCACCGCCGCTCCTTTGCACTGTCTTGCGTTGCAGGTTGCTCAAATTGATTGGCGGTCCATTGTTTGGGACGCAAAAATAATTTTTAACGACCCCTTGCGAATTGCGGCGTTATTGACTTTAGGGACGAAAGCACGCACACGCTGTGACGCTTTATGGCAATTTGAACTTAATTTTAATAAAAGTTCAAAGCAATAATTGTTTGTTCTATTACAATTTTGACAGCAGATTGCATTGAGCAATGCCACACATCATTGGAGATGTGCCTTATTTTATAAAAATTTTACTTTTTACTAATACAACTTTCACATCTTTATGTTTCATGTTATAATTTTTTATATGTTGCTGTAATTTCAGCGACAGTGCCACCTATTAAAATTTTTTGTAATTGGGTAATTACTGTATTACAAAAAAAAAAAGAAAATCCCAAACCATCCGAAAGGAAACAAAATATAGCGCAATTAAAAATTTTATTATACACACGATGATATATAACGTTAACTATAACGTATAAATAATACTATGTAAAGTATATACAATTATAAAACAATATTGGAAAATTGGTTCAACGGCATCCAACCCGGTTTCGCGGCATCTCATCACTCTTTACATCCAATACATATAAACAAAAATTGTATACACATACTTTTCTATAAATTCCACAAAATACTTCTATAAATGCAATGTTCCCCGTTCTACCAAACTTTCCGATGACGTAAGGCAAGACAACCCCAGCTTCTCTCCCGCCCCCCAACGACAAACCAGGCTCACTCGAACTGATCCAAAGTCTCTTCGAGTTTCGAGACGACGTTCCTATAAAAGTTCAACTGCTCGGACAAAAAATCCTTCAGCGCCCTCTTCAGGTCGTTGTCGCGCTCCTGCTGGAAGTGGTTCAGTTCCGCAAACACGGTGTACGTCACCACGTCCGACCTACGCCTGACTTCCGTCAGCGCCACCTGCTGCGTCTGACTGTTACGCTCACACTCCTTCTTTTTCTGTTCGGCCATCTTTTGTAGGTGCAATATGTCCGGCAGATTTGCGGTGATGCCTTTGTAAATGTAAAGTTTGTCGAACAATGGTTGCCAGTCGATTTTGCCCTGTTCCTCGTACAGTTTACCGATCATTATGTAAGTGGAACCGATGTTTTTGACGTCTGAAACGATTTAAACATGCCAGCAGCGTGAATGTGACAGCCGCCAGCGACAGTTCTCAAGATAACGCTGGCTGCCTTTTTAAACGCGAAAGCAACCCAACATACTCGATATTACGTGGTGAAAAATCAAATACGCAAACTGTAAACAGGAATATATTCGCAGTTGTCCAGGTCACGATATGGTGGCGCTGTTTTATATATAAATTGTCAAAGAAGCAATAAAAAATGTATTTTTAATTTAAATGACATTTCTATTCTATCAACTGTGGCTATTAAAGCTTTTTTTGTTTTTTTTTTTCGCTTACTTAGAGAATTCTACACTTAGCTGTGTGAAATTGAAGACAAGGTTTAAAAAACAGGTAAGTTAATCATGGTTAGAATCCGCTAACCTTAATTTTCTTTATTTGCATGTGCTGGAAAAAGGGTGATATGTATTAAGCGCAAAGGGACTAGTTTCGTGATGTAATTGCTTGAGATGGTTGAAAAGTTTGCTTCTATACATATGATTCAAATTTCATAATTGTATTCCTCCAAATAGTTTTGGTTAGTTTTAGTGTTGGGTGCTAGTTTTGGTTAGTTGGTGTCTTTAGATCGTCCACTACGCAACAGAAATAACTAAAGTATTAGGCTCTGTTTAAACATTATTATTAGTAGCCTAATCAATTTTTAATTTATTAAAATATTCTTGCAAATTTCACCGTGTTTTAACTGTTTGCTGCTAATTTGCTAAATTAAATTTACTAAATCTTTGCTGCAGATGAATAGACGTAAATTAAACACTTTAAAAATGTATGATTCAGGAAAATTCCACCTTGAATGAAATTACAGTCAATTTTTTTTGACTCCCAATTTAGAATGCTAATAGAAAAACGACCGTTACAGTTTTCCTTTTTGTTTTTTTCTTGCATATTTATTTTGTACAGAATGAATATTTATCTGTTTTTTTTGTAACTGTAACTATCATTTTTTACTGCGAAGAAAGTTATTTGTGCTTTAAATGATTTAATTTACTGTGCCGTATTTACTTTTTGTAAAACTTTTTCTTAGTAACCTACGTTGAATATGTGTTTTTGTTGTTATAACCATTTTAAAATATTGTTCTGATACATTATTATCATTTTACGTCATTAGCGAGGTCATTTCATTCATTGTTTATGTTGCATCTTGCCATTTTTATTCCGTGAACTCTATTTATTGGCTAATAAACTTCAAAGTTTATTATTATTTAAAGTGAATCATTGTTTTCATGTTATTGGATAATAATCTCGTTTGAGAGTGTTTCTAAATTTATTTACCTCAGTTACTAATGTGCAATAAAGCATATTTACTAATTTGGGCGCTTCCAAATGGAAATTATGTTTAAATTGAAATTGAAATTTAAAGTTTTAAAGTACAATATGTAGATACAAGTATTTACACGGATTCGCGCATGTATAACGGATATTACGAGAATTTTTTTTAACAATATACCCCATCTGGGAATGGTATTCCAGGCCACGGTATGGTGGCATGCTTTTGTGTTTCCAGGAGTTTGCTTAATCTTAGTATCTGTGCCCTATTTGGTAGCGCGTTATCTTCAAATCTGTGTGAAATGTACGATTAAGAACGAGCAATTCCAATAATCAATCTACACCACTGATTGTACTGTACTGATTGTAATATCAAACAAGAACTCACCGACGGACGCCTTTGAGTACATTCCCTGTTGGTTGTACTCGAACGCGGACCCCAGTGCGAAAAAAGCCTCCCCAATTCGGCTAAACTCTTTGCTGTACATGGTCGCGCACTTCTTCTGCTGGTCCTGACTCGTAATCATCAAATTCTTGATGCACTGGTCCATTTTCGCCATATAATTTATATTTTCGTCGATTTTCGTCTCGACCAAAGAGGGCATTATCTCCTTTTCTGGCGCTTCAACACACAGGCAAAAATTCGCCCCAATCAGTTGGTCTTTTTCGGCGTTCCTCTTGCCCTGTTTCCATTGCTTCTCGTCGGTACAAGTTAGGAAATGAATCCACACGTCACACATAGATAGCACCGGATGTCGGCACATGTAATTGATAAACTCTTGGAGCTGAGCCCGTCGGTGCTCTATAAACATTTCTTCATACCGACCTGACACTTGCTTGTCTGGTAATGGAGGTATAGCTATCATGTTAAACTTCTCCGTCAGTCTGTCATGTAACCAATCAAAATGCTTGTACCGTCTAGAAACTTCGATGTTTGTAAATGACGGAGTTAACTGATATGCTATGAAAGATTTGAGGCCGCCCATTTTAGAAGCTTTTTTCGGAGACGCGATTTGAACAGTGTAAGGATTCGATATCGCCTCCCATCTGCCCAAAGTGTCGTCACTGTCCCTGTATATGTGAATACGTTTGGAACCGCTGCTTGACACGTCTTTCGTGGTACCTGCAAACGCAAGAAAATTTCCCCTCAATGGGCTTGTAGAGTTCAACAACCTCGAGACGACCTTTGTAATCGCGTCAACGAATCACCGGCTAATTGATAAAATGTCTTTGTTTAAATCTACACTGCCAAATTTTTGAGGTTATGTTCAAAAAGAAAGGATAATAGAAGGCGAAAAACAATCGCAAACCTTATCTGATGTAATAAATATCGGCCGCAGTTGACTTATCTAGCGCGTCTTGCGATATTTGGCGGCGAACAAAAAATGATTCACCTACCTAATATATAACTTTCCAGTCCGCTCTTAACATATGAAGAAAAAATATTTAAGCTCTTCTTGGTAATGGTCCCCCTATTATCCACCCCCACAGTGCTACCACTTAACGACACGTTATCGCTTGCCTGCCGGACGTACACATTCTGATTTGACTCGTTACTGTAAATGCTCTGCTGGTGATTGTTGCCTGGGATTTCGGTATAGGTATCATCATCCCAATCGTCGTCCCAGTCATCATGATCTTGCTGAGGTGCGTCGCCCCAACCGCCCTGTGGTGGCAACGGTGGGGCCGGTATGGTGGGAGGACCACCGCCTTCGATTTTCTCGACATAGGCTTCTGGGAAAAGCCCCGACTTCCCGCGACTGTTCAAGCCTTCCCACCAGCCTTCGCCGACATCTGTCCTCGTTACGGTTAAGACTTCGCCAGCGGATATCGATATTTCCGCTGTGTTCGGTTCCCCTTGGAAGTCGTAGAGTACCCGCACTTTAAACGTGGACATCGCGATCAACTCTTCACATCAAACTGTTATTTATAGGCGTTTAAGGTCGCGCAGATTGCGAGTCTGATGGGACGCACTTCGCTCTAGTTATTTTGAGAAATGCCGAAAGGATTGGCCAACGATTAAATCGCCAACCCTCTATGCTTCATATTACATGAAACCATAGACAAAATTATTATTTACTAATACATGACACAACAGACAGGCTGACAAACGTCAACTGACCACAGAACGCAAATCGGTAATTGTAAGCGGGTGCGTAGCGACATCTTTGTTGCAGCGACAGAAGAAAAAAAAAAGGTTTCGATATTCGGAGTGAACGCAAATGGAGTGAAAAAGAAATAGATGGCAATCCGCTGAATGGCGGTTGCAACGATAAAGTAATTATCACATGTTAATAACTCTTCCAACAACAAATATAAAAATAGACTCGTTAACTACTTACCTCGGACCGTATGTTTGCTCGTTGACCCAAAAAATGTATAAAATTAGTTTTGTATAGTAGACATAAATTAGCGCAAGTTAGAAAATGGTCCGGATATTGATGTATTGAGCAACCGTTTATCCTAATAGTTCGAATATCGATCGGATGGGCGTCGAGGATTTCGCCCCCCATTCGATTTGTTCTAAAAATATAAATCAGGTCGGCAAAAATTGCAGACCTATTAAGCAAAATGTCACGAACCTTTTTATCTGTCGCTGAGTTTTGTGATATTACCGGTAGAAAAGGCGCGTCAAGGCTTAATTTTGCGCTAATGATGGCCATGACGTCACCTGCCACAGACCGAAGTAAGTTTTCGTTCGATGTGTTTTTGAACGAAACGAACGAAATGACGATTTCCAAACAGCAAAAACATCGAATGGCATGTTAATTCGAATAAACCGTATTAGTTGAATAAAGATCCGCGTCTGCCATCGGACCGAATATGGATTTCTTAGACAAAAAAAAGGTGCGGTAAGTTTGCAACGCGGCTAGCGACACGTTTCAAATTCATTAAATGAAATGTAAGTTCCCGCACACCCCGTACATTCGTTTTGTAATGGCAATCGCGCGTAACCTCGTTAATAGACGAACATATGCTTGGCGGGAACGACGTTACCCACAACATATCGTCGGTCAAGGCCAAATAAACAAAGCCATTGCACAATTGCACACGAGGATCGTTATTAAGCTACTTTATAAGCTGCCTTTTACTTACTGCTTTCGACTTATTTCAAAACAATTATGCCCGCAATTGCAAAAACCGATTGGAATCGATCGCGTCAACTAACCAAAATCGCACAGTCGTACGTGCGCGCCTCAAATTTTCGCACTTCTTTGCAGCGGTCGCGGTTGTTTTGTTTTATACGGTTGCGACGCGCGCACGTCGACCCGCAACCCTTGCAACACAATTTTTCGCGCCTCCTCTGATCACGCTGACATTTGACGCGTTCCAATACGCGACTACTCATCTGTAACGTCGCGTGGGTAGCCGCGATCGCATCCTCACATTTTCCTTTGGACCATATTTAAGCCACGATGGGTCGGATGCACGTCATGACCTACAGTTCATTTTTTAACAGTTACCTAATCCCGGCGCATTTGCCATTTGTACGGGCACTGGAACGATAGGTAATACAGCACATATTGCGTTAAAATTTTATTGAAAAATATAACAAATATAGGCTTTTCACACTCAATTTGTCGATAGTATCAACGCAAACAGGCGGCAAACGCTACTACGGGGCATATAAATATTCACAAAAGCGCGTTTAGCGCGCATAGGGGTCCGATGTTGGTCGGCGGCCGCGTTTAGGCGGCGGCTGAAAAAAAATTCCTATGTTAGTTCCACGTCGGCGTCGCTATGTCGGGTGCGTCCGTTGATAATCGGAAGATCTTACCTCGTTTATATACGTTTTGATGAAATGCTAGTATGAGTTAATGATTTCTGGGCAATGGATCACTCTAAAATGAGAAATTTAACGTCACTGAACGTAAATTCGATGCGGTCAGAAGTCACAAATCATCTATCTAAATTTGACGGCAAATTTATGATAAAATATGACTTGGCAATAGGAGAGAGGCTTATTTTTTGGTTTGAATATGTATGAATACAAAGACGTATCACAAAACTTTATGCCCAATGTCTAGCAGTAACTCTCAAAATGTTTGAAGCTCTGAGTTATTATGAAGCATCGTCTATATACAGGATGAAAATTTGGTATTTCATTTTTGGGTTGGAAGTTTTATTTAAAATTCATTTTTTTCATTCAAAACGTTTTTTGAATTTTATATATATAGCCGATACGATTTGCGATGGGATAGTACCTGCTTCCACTCGTATACTAAGAATGGCAAAACTCATCCATTTAGCTGCCAGTGTTCTACTTTGTCTATTACGCCTCAAAGTCGTACGTACACTCGATAGAGATAGCACCTGTTACCGGATAATTACAGTAGTTTCCACTACAAAACGGGGTCTCATTTTTGAAAAATGTGGATTAATTACCAGGAAAATGGTCTAAAATGTGAGTTGTTAAAAATTGTAAAAAATTTCAAAATAAACTTGAAGTATGCTACGGACGAAATAATTGCTGAAATTGGGTGGGTTCAGTGCAAAATATTTTTTGAGAAAAATATTGTAAGTGAGACAAGGCGCGATCATCTGTTTGAAAAGCAGCTATTCCGACAGTTATCAAAGCAAATTGGATTAGTTGTAAAATACATACAGAAAAAATAATAAAAAATACTGAAAAAAAAAGAGAGTACACTTGATATAACTTGTTATTAATTTAGATGAAGGATCATTTGCTGGTAGTAGCAGTTCCAATTTTGGCTCTGATGGTGCAGATGCTTCATCGTAAATACAAAAACTGAATGTGGTGTACTTGTATAATTCTTAATTTTCCGATTTTTTTGGTATTGTTTTAATTTTTATTGCACCTACAGAGTTTTCGGACAATAGTTTACTACTCTTAAATATTCCCATATGATTAAGGAACACCCTGGTCTATTATTACATAGAAAATACATGAATTCATCTCTGAGTATTAATAAATGCCAAGTACAACTGATTCTGTTTATCTTACTCCTAAGTAATATAATCGTGGTCGTTAGCAACGGCCATCTTGTATTGATTAGATAGACATTTAGGGCAGAACAACATCCGTTGAAGTATAAGTGGCAGCTGAACAATCTATTTTATACTATGCCATCACAAATCGTGCCGAGTATTGTAATGTTGCGAAGCCACTCCGATATCGTGGCGACAATGGTACGAAAAATGGTTCAGTTCGAAACCCCTGCAGACTCACCTATCATGGGCGGCGAAGCAATAGGTTGCTCGAACGCTACGGCTTCGGCATCCGATGCCACTGACTCATTCGCCCCTTCAGCGACGACACCCACAGCTTCCGCAACTAGAACCTGCACCTCCTCCGTCTGCGCCGGCGCCGCGTCCCCTTCCGGTACCTGAGTCATTTCAGCTGTAGCCGCCTCCGGGGGTGGCGCTTCCGCGCCGCCCTCCGCCGGTGTTTCGGCAGGTTTAGCGGGTTGCCCTTCCGCTCCTTCGGGTTTTGCGGCAGCTTCCGCCGGTACTTCGGCTCCTGATTCGAGAATGCGCTTTAAGGAGGCACTTGTGGGTTTTCAAGTTATGGTTACCTTCGGGAACCCCTTCCGCGGGAGCGGCGGCGGCCACTTCGGTAGTCTCCGCGGCGGTCCCTTCTGCTGGTTGAACTAAACACAGAATACTTTTTTCAGTAGGGGAGATCAAGATAAGAGCGAAAAAGAATGACCCGACGCCAGTGCTAGGCGTCGCTGACGTCGCGGCAGACTAATGACGGGAATTTAACATGTTCCGAATTGACAGACAGCTTATCTTCGATGACGTGAAAAAGGATTTGTGAATATGCGATATGAACGTTCACTTCACTATAGTCTATGAAGGAAGCTGTATTCACCAATGTGCCAAACATAAAATCTACCAAAGTCCATGAAACACGGCTATTTGTGAAAAAATAGGTAATAAGGAGGATTAACTTTTAAAAATTAACCTAAATCGCGAAAAGCCTCCCTATTCGTTTTTGTTGAGTTTCTTTTATTAATGTTAAATTATATTATTAAAAATGGCAGGCTCGAAAAGTTTTATAATGCGCCCAACATATTCTGTTGTGGAAGAGTAGAAAAAAATTCTAATTGAGTTTTAAAAAACAAAAAAAAAAAACAGTAAAACATCCAGATCTATTAAAAGGAATTTTTCGATGTTGATGGGAAACAAATGATGGGGCAATTTAAAACGGTTTTAGAGGGAGGCACTTAGCGACTGGAGATAGCTGCAAAAAAAAAAGATGATACCTATGAATCAATTTTATTTTTTTTTTTATGTTTGCTATTTCTTGTATATTCAATTTGTGAAGCAAATGCAATTAATCTCAGTTTTTGTTTAATCGAATGGGACTTAAGAAGGCACTAACTGCTACGTTTACTTCTGATAAGTCTCTAACCCATATTATAACAAAATATAGAGGGCGTAAATACTGTAACATTATTGCATTGTTGCTCTAATATTGTATAGAAGGGAATCTTCCGCGCATGACCATAAATCTAAAACACAAATGTGCACTTTTCGCCAATTCCATTTTAATGCGGTTAAAGAAAACCTTTTATCAATATAAATTTTGTTGCCAAAATTCTACAAATTTGAACAAAAATATTTAACACATTGTAAAGAAGCCATTTTATTTTATTTTTTTATGACGAATCTCTCTCCCTGAGCATTGGTGCAAGTTTTTTGAAACACCCTGTGTATCTAGTAGCTATATAGCTCTAACCAAATCTGTAGATAAGCCAAACAACTTTCAAAATCGATTTTCTTTTAATGTCAAGGCGCCTACCCTGTCATGAACTCATCCTCTCTTGCGCGTCTTCCAAATCTGGAAGAAATGTTTCTTCCAAATCCATAGTTTTGATTAGCAGGTTGTAAATGTCGTATCCCGGGCATATACGATGATCGCCGAGTCGGAAAATGACGTGCGTGAAATAAGAAGGAAGGAATTCCCAGGTTTTTTCTATTAAAGCGTTTTAAATTGACTGGCCTAATGATCCTGGCAGATGTTGCCAGTACCAGTAAACAAGAAGAAACTTTGTCGGTAATATGAACATGCTTAATCGAGTGAAGTACTTTTTCGGAGGATATGCTGGAGATGACTTTTCGACGGTACATGACCTGGCTTACCAGCCTGGCTCTTCAGTTTCTCGATAAGCGATTCGAAGGTAACCTGAGTCTCAGGGTTTTCGGAGGTCAGGTCGACCACTTTGAACTTAAGCGAGTCCTTGATGTAAAGCACCACCCCTTCGCCACTGTTCTTACGATTCTCGATCAGCGAGTAGTTGGGGATTTTAACGGCCTCTACGTCATCGGTTGGCGCAAGTACCGCTTCCGGTAAAGCCACGAAATCGTAATTCTCACTAATCACGAGCTGTTTGAAAGTCTCGAAAGGGCCTGGAATGGAAACTCTAAGCCTTTAAGCTCCGATGTCGTCGAAGCTTGTATCCCGCATATCTAGCGGACACCCAACATTCTCCCAACCCCAAAAAACAAGACCTTCTATGTACCTGGTGGTGCCTCTTCTTGAGGCTTAGCTTCTCCTTCGACGTTGGTTTCGGCCTCTATCGGAGCCACTGATTCGGCAGGCGGTCCTTCAGCAGGTGTCTGGCCTTCGACTGCAGCGCCTCCATCGCCTTCCGTGGGCGGTTGACCTTCAGCCACCTGTTGCCCTTCGGGTTGAGATTCTGGTTGACCCTCGACAGAAGGTTGTCCTTCAACGGGAGGTTGTCCTTCGGCTGGGACGGCTGCCTCCTCAGCAGGTTTGGCTTTAGATAGTCAGCGGGTTACTTTTTACGCTCGGTTTTTAATCGTGGGGCTTTTGATGGTACTTACCGGCGTCTTCTTCCTAAAATAAAGGGGGTTATTTTAGATTAAGTTTGGGTAGAACGGGATTGATACTTGGCAGTGGTATAATTTATGTGTGTATTTACTTTATTTTTTTTTTACAAATTAACAAAAATCCTACATTTTCAATATTTAATGATATAGTTCTTGACACGCAATTTTTTTTATCATCCAAAATTAAATTTAATAAAGTCATTTTAATTTCTTTTATAATTGGGGAAGGTGTTCTGCTTCCTAACCACCTCTATATTTTCTAAAATGCTGAAGCAAGCGACAATTGGGCAATACTGTATATACATCTAGCTTATACCCGCGAGTATGGGAGAAGGCACCGTGTAGAATACACGCGTTTGGAAATTATAGTCAGTTTAGTGAATTTGTTTGGCGTATCTTATATTTCAAATTTCAAAGAAGAAAACGCTTGAGGGTATACTTCTTCCATTCTTTTTTGCAGAATGCCTTCTATTGTAAAGGAAAAGCCAATGAAGTCAGACTGATACGGCTACAGCTTTCGAAGTGTATAAAGGCAATATATTATGGCTTAAACGTACATCATACAGCATACCGAAGGTAATTTTTAAAAGGAGGAGAAATTAGCTAAACATATTCTTTATCTTAAAACAAAATTAACGTAGGTACAGGCATACTAGAACTAGAGCTAGAGCTAATCATGGTTTTACCGTGTCTTAATATCAAGTAGCGAAATTACTTGCAGAAGCATGGCGGCAGGGATGGCTACTGCTATCAATGGATTCCGAAAAACCGAAATATGGCCAGTCGATAGAAATGTATTCAGTGAAGTCGATTTTGCTCTTGCGGATGTCCTAATTGTACAGAAAAGTAGACAAGCAGATGAAGATTTGCCATAGTATGAAAAAGACAACAATATCCTGTTAATCGAATTTCTTAAAAAGAATACATGAAATTAGAATCAGAACCATCTACATCAGCAACGCCGAACTCTGGATTAGGACTCCGGTCATCCTTAAAGATAGACACAGATGTAGAAATACCAGCACTAAGAAGCAGTTCCAGAAACACAAACATCAACATCAAAATGTGGATCCCACTCATCTTCAAATATAATTTCTCTCAATAGTATTGAAGAAATTCTAGGTTACCCCCAAATTGATCGGGATAAAATTAAACAGACTCGTACTCAAAAGGTTGCTGTTATCACAATTAGTCCATATAAAGAGGAGTTAGAAGCTATACAAATAAAAAAAGCAAACAAAAAATACGCGAGCGAGTGGTATTAGCTTCAGGAGCAGTCGTGATATACATGATATATATGATGTGATATATGATGTACTGCCTTAAATGTCGTGAATGGGTTCATGAATCATGTGCGCTAATGCGCAATCAAAAGACATATTTATGTGTGACTTTTGTATACCTAACTAAATATCTTTTACGTTTTTAAAATGTCTCGCCAATGTATTTTTCTTCGTTAGTTGCTTAATTTTGAGACTTATAATTTAAGATACCGATACTTGCTGGTCCAATATAGGTAACCTTCCCCTATATTAAATACAAATATTGAGGGACTACTTCTTAATTATATCCGAATTCTAGAAACCAAAAATTTTCATCCACCTTTATACTGAGCCAGGAAAAGATGTAGTGAACGAACCATGCTTGCAAACGGCGGACCTGTCATTTCTTTGGTAAACATTTATATATATATATATATATATATATATATATATATATATATATATATATATATATATATATATATATATATATATGTATATATATATACATATATATATATATATATATATATATATATATATATATATATATATATATATATATATATATATATATATATATATATATATATATATATATATATATATATATATATATATATATATATATATAT